TCACGAGCATTAAATGAGATAATTTGTTTAAAAACTTTTACCAGATGGTAAGCACTGGGTAAATGTTCGTGAAATCCGATTCTAAATTGAAGGACATGAACATAAAGGGCTCATTCTTCAACTGTGTGCCCCAGAAACACAAGCTGGCGGCTGGCAGCACTTGACATTTGGGTCTTTCACAGCTTGATGGCTAGGGTAGGGGTGGGGCTGGTCCTCTAGGAGGAAATTGCCTCTTTGGGTGAGTCCTGGTATACTCCTCTGCACTGCTCCCAAACAATGTGAGCTGAAAACCTCAAATCGCTGGAGAGGAGTGGTGGTGAACAGCTGCTCATTAAGAAATCCGATCCTGGGCTGGGCTAGCATCCCTCATGATGCTGCCTCCCAAACATGTTTTAGAACATTCAGACTATGCCACTGTAGTGGAAGTTGTCAACTTGAGGGGATTAAACAAAAAGCAGGCGAAGTAATAAAACTCTATTGTTAATCTCCATTCATGATGGAAAGAGAGCAGTGTCCTGACATAGAGGGTCAAGTGACGAAGGAAAGATGGCATTTCCTGCTCAAAAGGTAACCTGAAGCTGGTCACCAATTGCTCATGCCTGTAATCCTAATTATTTAGGAGGCTGAGGTCAGAGGATCCTGGTTCAAAGGCAGCCCAAGCAGGAAAGTCCATGAAACTCTTTATCTCCAATTAACCAGCAAAAAGCTGGAAGTGGAGCTGTGGCTCAAGTGGTAGAGTGCTAGTTTTGAGCAAAAAAAGAAGCTTGGGGACAGAGCTCAGGCCCTCAGTTCAAGCCCCAGGACTGGTGTGAGTGCCTGTGCACGTAAACACACACAACCCGAGAAACCGGATTTGCCAACTTGTGTGTGGCTTGCTGCTGTGGCTCAGTGGCCATAATTGGTTTGGTGAGTTCTTTAAGTTTAGTTGTCTGGTAACTAAAGTAACCAACTCGATCTGCCGGGCTCAGCAGCAATAGCCTTGCTTGTATTTCAGAAAAGTAGGATGTTTCTATAATACTCATGAATTATAAACAAGGCTGTGATAAACTTCCTTATAGTTGTCATTTTGTGTACTCCCTTCATCTCCCTGAAATGAAAAATTCCCAGAAATGGGCCTTCTAGATCAACTTAAGTTTTGGGCAATGGGTTGTTTAAATTTCTTACCAGAAAGACTGTGCCAATTGTATTCTTTTTTTTTTTTTCTCCCTAGTACCAGGATTTAAACTTAGGGCCTTCTACTTATTAGGCTAATATACTACCACTTGAGCCATGTCTCCAGTCCTGCTTTTTACTTCCTGTTTTAGAGATGGGAACCTAGTGCACTCCTCGGCTTGAGCTGTCCTCACGCTATGATCCTTTCCAGCCTCTAAGTAGCTAGGATTATAGGCATGAGTAGTGACCAGTTCCTTGTAGATTTTGTGAATTTTTAAAACAAATTTCTTATTTATTAGAATTTGCTCAGCAAATGATATAAATTGATTTGAAAATATATTCATCTAGAGAGCATTTGCATTAGTTTCTGCCAGTCTATCTCCCTATTACTTATATGAACGTGACTGCGTGCACTCAACCATTTGAGTCATACCTCCATTTCTAGCGTTTTGCTGGTTAATTGGAAATAAAAATCTCATGGACTTTCCTGTCCAGAATGGCTTCCCCCCCACCCCACCCCAGTAACTAGGATTACAGGCATGAACCACCAGCACTCAGCTTAAATCACCCTTCTGGAATGTAATGCAGTCATTTTCAGTAGGTTTACAAGTTTAAGATCAATTGTATCTACATCCTGAACTTGTGGTTCAGACTACCATAGTCAAAGTGAATTTGTGCTGAGCCACTCATATATAGCCTGGCTTTATGGTTACCAATTTTTGAGTGAGATTAATTTTTTTCTTTCACTTATACCCCAAATTGAAAGGCTAGGTTTTCTTGCTGGCTCCTCTGCAGGGCAGGTTTGCTTCTTCTTTTTTTTGGAGCCGGGGGTTGGGGGGTGGGGGCAATCATGGGGCTTGAATTCAGGGTCTGAGCTCTGTTCCTGAGCTTCTTTTGCTCAAGGCTGCACTCTACCACTTGAGACACAGCACCACTTCTGGCTTTTCCTTTTTATGTGGTACTGAGGAATTGAACCCAGGGCTTCATGCATGCTAGGCAAGCACTCTACCACTAAGCCATATTCCCAGCACTGTTTATATTTGATAACCTAGATGCAGTTCCCTGGGGCCCCCAACTTCATGCTGGTTTCCTTTGGAGCTCTCTTGAGAGTTGTCTTCCACCTCCTGCATCCCTGTGGCCCTCAAAACAAGTTCAAGGTCATAAATGTTGAGTGGATGCCAGCTTCAGTCTTAGCTTATTTCTGAATTTCTAGTCTTCATTCATTTTTTGGTCTCAGAAGATTTGATTCTTTACATACCGACTCAGCAATGCACTTGGAAATTTTTTTTTTTTTTTTTTTGGGTCCAGTCGTGGGGCCTGAACTCTGGGCCTGGGCGCTGTCCCTCAGCTCTTCAGCTCAAGGCTAGCGCTCTACCACTAGAGCCACAGCACCACTTCCGGCTTTTTTTCTTTTTGCTTATGTGGTGCTGAGGAATTGAACCCAGGGCCTCAGGCATGCAAGGCAAGCGCTCTACCACTGAGCCATCTTCCCAGCCCATGCACTTGGAAATATTTTGAGAAAGAATTTTCTTCAGCACTTTTAGCTGTTGGTTGTGGCAGGATTTTTGAAGGTGCTGCAGGACTGTCCATCAGCCTTTTAGTTTTGTTTGTAGTATGTATTTTTTTTTTCCTTTTCAGCCATCATTGTTCTCTCCTAAGGGAGAGAGTAGGGTTCAAGTTGAGCCACTCCTATGTTAAGGTAGACATTTGTTCCTGCAGGGGGGCTCCTTGAGCTGGCTGGACTGGGACTTTCACTGTTCCCAGGGTCATCCATGCTTCATCCAAGGCCAGCCACACTCCCCAGTGGCAGAGTCTCACGCTTGTTTTAAGTGCTAACAGAGTTAAGTTCATTATCTTCCTTTGTAGCTTGTCAGTTTGGTCATGAGTCTGAGGTCTTTTCTGTCTACCCACAATCACTTTGGGGTATGTGTGTGTGTGTGTGCACACACACTTGTGCGCACGCACACGCTCATACTGGGGCTTGAACTCATGGTCTGGGTACTGTCCCTTAGTTCTTTCATTTAAGGATGATACTCTACAGCTTGAGCATAAGCTCTGTGTCTTGTGTCTGGCTTTTTTTTTTTTTTTGTGCTTGTCCTGGGCTTGAACTCAGGGTTTGGGTGCTGTCCCTGAGGTTTTTTTTTGTGTGTGTTCAAGGCTAGTGCTTTACAAATTGAGCCATAGCTCCACTTCTGGCTTTTATGATTACTTGGAAATAAAAGTCTGGCTCTGCCCCAACTGGCTTTGAACTGTGATCTTCAGATCTCAAACTTCTAAGAAGCTAGAATCATAGGCATGAGCTACCAGTTTCAGGCTTATGTTTGGCTTTTTGGTTGTTAATTGGAGATAAGAGATTCAGAGACTTTACTGCCTGGACTGGCCTCCAGCTATAAGCCTCAGATCTCAGCCTTCTGAGTAGCAAGGATTATGGGCATGGGCTACAGTGCTCAGCCATTATCACTTCCTATTTGGTTTTCTTTGAGAATATTGTTTTTTCACTGTGCCCAGTTCACCAAGAGGATAGTGAAAGTGTCCTTAAACTCTTTCATCCAGCTAGGTTAGCTGCCTTTGCAGCTCAGACAGGAAGAACAAAGGGGACATGCCCCATGGGTCATTGCTGTCCATAACTTTAGAGTCTGAAATTCAATTTAGGGACTTGGTAGCAGCCCCTGGAGACCCTTTTCCCTGCCTCATTTCTAGTGTAAGCCTTGCCTGTGTGGGGCTAGATCCAGAGAAGCCTAGATGCCTGGGCAACTTCCCTCCCTCTACCGGAAGCCTCTGCTAATGATCACCTCCAGGAAACAGAATAGAAGGCTTAAAAACAGTAATCCTCAAGGGATTTGAGGGAGGAAATGATTCCCTTAGGAAAGTTTGTCTGAGTCTCTTGTGGAAGTTTTTATAATCTCCACCCAACCCACCTCAAATAAGGGAGTTACTGCTTGTGGTACCACTGATCCAGAACTGCCCTGGCTCAATAAGCCCTCCTTGTGGTGACTGAACTGTAGCCTTTTGGCTTGCCAAATCTGCACTGGATTTCAAAGGTTTAAGCCAAAAAGTATAATGGTATCTTGGAGATTCTTTATATGAAATGTATATTGAAATGATAATGTGTTCTGCATGTTAAATGAGATAAAACATTAATTTCACGTTTTAATTATTTAAAATAGGTAACTATTAAAGTTACTTGTAGGCAGGCACCAGTGGCTCATGCCTGTAATCCTAGCTACTCAGGAGGTTGAGATCTGAGAATCAATGTTTGAAGCCATCCCAGGCAGGAAAGTCTATGGGACTCTTATCTCCAGTTAACCACCAAAAAGCCGGAAGTGGAGCTGTGGTTCAAGTGGTAAAGCACTAGGCTTGACCAAAAGAAGCTTAGGGACAGTGCTTAGGCCCTGAATTCAAGCCCCAAAATAATTCTTCAAGCCCAAAATAAATAACGTTACCCATATGGTTTTTGTTTGTTTCTTACTATGTTCTGGACAAGCATTAATCTACAAGATAACTTATTCCTTCTGTGTGTGTTGGTGTGTAACATTTACATGCAAGCTATAGTCCGCCTGCCTGCAGTCTCTGTCCACCAGATGGTTTGACATTGTTACCTCACTCATAAATATAACAGTGACTTCATGCATCCCCACGGAGGTTTTTTTCACAGTGACCACAGCCCTTCCTCCCTGAAGCAGAAAGAGAATTGTTTCCAATTGGGGATAATAGAAATGGGACTTTCAAGGAGACCTTTAGTCAGCAATAACCTCAAGTGGCCTGCTGGCGATGGTAAATGGTCTTCTCTGAGGGTTTAACTTTCAGAAACCAGCAAATCTCTCTGATGCAATTTCTTGTCCTTTCAGCTGCTATAAGCAACTATGGGTCAGGAAGGAGCAACACTGAGCCCCACAGTGAAAACATTGCCTTCCGTCAAGCTCTACAGGACCTTTCAACGGTGGCCTTCAGAGAGGGTGTCATGGCTCAGACCTCCAGAACTAGCCATCTTTCTTCAGAATCTCTGGAAGATCTCCCTGCTCTTACTGAAATGGCAAGTGCCGAGGGAAGGAATGAGTCTTCAAGTCAAACAAACTTCACCATTTCACCTGTTGGGCACTCATCTGAGATCGCCATGGCTCTAACCTCCCAGGACAGTACTTTATGTGAGTGTGCATGGTGATGCTCATTATATTTGTGTATGTTGTGATATATGCACCTCATCTGTGGCAGGCCAGATGAGATTGTGGATTTGTTGAGCATCCTGGTTGGTCTGTGGCATCTCTGTTTCATGGCTGGTCTGAAACAAACCTCTCTCTCTCTCAGTTGTGAGGCTTGAACTCAGGGCCTGGGCACTGTCTCTGAGCCTTTCTGTGCTTAAGGCTAGCACTCTATCACTTGAGCCACAGTGCCATTTCTGGCTTTTTTCTGTTTATGTGGTACTGAGGAATTGAACCCAGGGCTTCATGCATGCCAGGCAAGCACTCAAACCTTAACCCTCTTCAGGGGTCTTACCACACCCTCTAATCTCAGAGGAACAAGTCTGACAGGATGTGTGGTTTGGAAAAATGGTCAGGCTGTCTTTGTTTGTGTTATGGGGTTCAAAGGGTTGTTCCTCTGTTTGTATAATTTGGTGGTTTCCTTTTTTATATTTTTGTGCCAGTCTTGGGGCTTGAACTTACAGCCTGGGCACTGGCTCTGAGCCTATTTTGTTCAAAGCTAGTGCTCTGCTAATTGAGCTACAGCTCTACTTCCAGTTTTTTGTTTTTTTTTTTTTGGTGGCCAATTGGAGATAAGAGTCTCATGGAAAAAAAAAAAAAGAAAACAGAAAATGCATGTTAAGGAAAAAAAAAAAGAAATATGCTAAAAAAAAAAAAAAAGTCTCATGGACTCTCCTGCTCTAGTTGGCTTCAAACTGCTATCCTTAGATCCCAGCCTCCAAAGTAGCTAGGATTAGGGGAGTGAGCCACTGCTGTCCAGTTTGGTTTGCTATTTTTAGCAGATGATTTCAGGAAAGGACTGGGACTCCATGGGTAAGATTTGATTGAAGCACAGAAGACAGAGAAAAGTAATGGTTGCTAGGTATCTACTACATACCAACATAGCTAGTCTAGTAATGGTTACAGGAAGCTGGTGAGGTCATGTTATTCTCATAGGAATTTGAGCACTGAAGCTCAAAGGCTGTAATGAACCCAGTGTGTGAAGGACAGTTAACAGGTCTCCCAGCTAGGCTTGCAGCCTAAGTCTGTGTATCCAGGGGAGGGGGATGCCCAGCCTGAGGGAAAGTTCAGAGGAGGGTACATGTGGCCTCTTGGTGGGGCAGCAGGACATCCTGTCTGGGAAAAAGCCTAAGTTGTACACAGAGCAGCAAGTAGGACGGTTGTGGTGGAGACAATCATGGAGGACTTTTGTAGTTCAAACCTGATATTTTGGGAAGAGTGACTAAAGGGTTCTACCTGATGGAGTGATACTGTTGAGGCAAATGTGTTGAGGATTCATCCAGCAGCCCATCTGTAAGATGTGTGATGTAGAGGTAACAAGAGGAAGGGAATCTATAGAGTGAGCTGAACAACCCACCTAGACAAAGTCATCCAGACCCCAGGAGCTAACTAGGTGACAGGGGCTGAAGAGGTAGGTCTTGGTAAAAACTTAACAAAGGAAAGATGATAATTGATGAAGAACTGAAGGCTGAAGCCATCAAAGATGACCCCCGTGGCTTCAGACTATAAGTCTGATTGGAAGCACTCAGTGCAGCGAGGGAAATGTATGTGGGTATTCTGTGTTTCATCCATACTGGCTATAGAGCTTAGGAATTCAGCATGACATACTGCTTTGTTCTGGTGATCTTCCAGCTTTTGGAAATTCTGTCTACACTGGATTCCAATAAATTCTGGGCCCAACTTCATGGGATGTGGGTGATGAGTTATGATGATAAGACACAAGTTTCTAATTAGATATAGTCTGATACTAACCTTCAATCTGCACCCCATACTGATTATTTTACTATTACACCCTCCCCATCCATGCACAAAATGAAAAAATGATAAGACTATGAGGTCAAAAAACTTGTCTTGGTTAGTGGCTTTTCTTTCAAGAGTTTATCTATTTGGTGGTACTAGGTTTAAACTCAGGGTTTTGTACTATCAAGGTAGGCAACCTACCACTTGGATCATTCTACCAGTCCTTTTGCTTTAGTTATTTTTCAAATAAGGTCTCCTGTTCATACCAGGGCTGGCTTAGATTGCGATCTTATCTGTGCCTGCCACACATGGTTAAGAGCCACATGCTACCAAGCTCAGCTTTTTCGTTATTGTTGTTAAGATGGGGACTTGTGCACGGTTTTGCCCAAGGTGGTCTTGTTTTTCTTTTTTTCTTTCTTTCTTTCTTTTTTTTTTTTTTTGTCAGTTGTGCGACCTGAACTCTGGGCCTGGGCGCTGTCCCTCAGCTCTTCAGCTCAAGGCTAGCACTCTACCACTTGAGCCACAGCGCCACTTCCGGCTTTTTCTGCTTATATGAGGCTGAGGAATTGAACCCAGGGCCTCATGCATGCAAGGCAAGCCCTGAAATGTAGTTTTTCTTATCTTTGCCTCTTGAGTGTCTAGGATTATAGATGGGTACCACTGCACCTGGCTCAGGAGTTAGTTTTTTCATAGAAGGAATGGTTGATCCTAATTTCTTATCACATCTATATATTTCAGAGGTCAGAGCTGACTCCATTTAAAATGATTAATGGGAAGTCTGTTGGGAGAGAGAGAGAGAGACAGTGTCCTGAGGCTTGAACTCAGGACCTAGACACTGTCCCTAAGCTTTTGTGCTAGCACTCTTATCACTTGAACCACAGCTCCATTTCTGGCTTTTTGGTGGTTAATTGGAGATAAGAGTCTCACAGACTTTGCTATTCATGCTGTGATCAAACCAGGATCCTCAGATCTCAGCCTCTTAAATGGCTAGGATTACAGACCATGCTAGTAGAATTTTAATTACTGCTATCTATGTTCAGCCTCGAAAAGATCAGAAGAAAAAAGTTCTCCTCAAATGGAGAGTGAGATATCCCCAGTCTCCCTGGAGAAGGGGAAGGAGCTCCCAGGAGTGAGAACTACACACACCCAAGGAGCCTACACATCAGCTTCCATCCAGTCCTCTCTTGCTTCGGAGCCCAGAGAAGGGACCATGCTCTCCAGGAGGAGAAATTCCTCAGAACCAGAGCTCATCTTACAGCGTTTCTCCAGGACACCAGCTTACTCTCCTTCTTCAGGCCATCCATCATGTGAGTACTTCTGCCCTTAGCTCAACCCCTCCATGGCAATTAGAATATAACTATAGTTATATAGTTATAACTATATATAGCTATAACAACAGGTGTACAGTCAGCTCTAACAGCAGATAAGGCAGGGGGGTGGGGAGGGAGGAGAACCATTCCTCTAATGCCAAGCAGCATCTAGAGTACAAGTACAACTTATGTAAAAAGTTGATTTCAGTACTGAAGATTATTGTCAAATACTTTTTTTTTTGGTGGGGGATGGTACTAGGTCTTGAACTCAGTACCTGGGGTGCTCTCCCTTAGCTTTTTCCGCTTAGGTGCTAGAGCCATCTCTACTTCCAGCTTGCTGCAGGTTAATTGGTGATAAGAGTCTCATGGAATTTTCTGCCCAAGCTGGCTCTGAACTGTGGTTCTCAGATATCAGCCTCCTGAGTTAGCTAGGATCACAGGTATGAGCCACAAGGGCCTAGCTCAAGTATGTTTTAACTGTATAAGGAGGAAAAGGATCATCAGCTGCTCTAGGTCATCTATTCAGTGCTTTCTGCTTCCTCCTTCCCGTTCTTCTCCCCATTCTCCACACCTGCACACAAATATTGTTATGGAGCTGGTGTATCTTCTTACACAAAGATCACATGCTGGGGTGCTCTAGTGACATGGTAAGCACCATCTATTTGATATTTGTTTTATTTCTTCATCATTTCAAAAACCATTTCCTTCAGTGGCCAAGAAAACATGAGTACACATTTTCCTAGGCATCAACTGTGTTTGAAGGCGCGGTGTAAGCCCCTGTGGCTGTGGACTGCTGTCCTCTCTGCCCTTCCAGCCCTGCTGCTCATCAGTGTCAGCTCAGGAATTGCATTTCCTGCATCCTTCTTCAGTTCTCTGGTCCTCTGTGCTCTACACCATGACATACCTGGTTATCCGGTGCCTACACCCAGGGCTGTAATACTAATGAGGACACGGGCTGTGCTTGTGACTTCTAGATTCCCCAGCCCCCAGAACAAGGTGCAGTTAATAAGAAATAGGGCTTCCCATGCTCAAACCCCCTCAGGGGACGTAACTTGCCATGGTCTAAAGAAAATGCTGGGAACAGCTCCTCTTCGCTTTTCTCAGGTGTTACTCAGTTTTTGTGTCCTACTTGTGTTTCCTTTCTTGGGCCACGGGGAATAAGGACAAAAAGGGTCAGAAATACTCTTGGGAAACTGAGGTTAGTTCGCTTCAGAAATTTGCTATTTCAAAATTCTTATCTGTCAGAGGTTTTTCAAGGTACTTTGCAAGACTAGGAGTTTGAGTTTGTCATCAAAGCAAAAACTGAGCCCAGAGGTCCTTTCTGTGGTGTCTATTTAAAGCAGCCAGTTCCCTTTCCATATACTTCATATACAGTTTCCTGCTGACTGGGTATGGATATAATTTATGATTCATGTTTTTAGGAGATTGCTTTTAAGATTATTCACCAACATTGGCTGGATTGGATAAAAGCTATGATCCGTTGCAGGTCCAGAGTTCTGTGGTTCAGTGATTTACAACCAACTTTACTAAATGGTGAAAAGGAAGCATTTTCTAGGAAGTTCCACTTTGATTCTGGCCAGGCTCATTTAATATTTATAATTTATAATTCAAGCCAGAACTGTGGTATATTTGAAAATCAACACATGTTTCTAATTTTACTGGACCTAATTCTCTATTCACCTGTATTTTCAACAATAAAAAGACAACTTGACCTTCATATTCTGAGATTTTATTCTTCTAAAAACCTTCTATTTCTAATTTTTGGAGAGCTTTATTATAGTGTTCGCATTTCCTGAGTCTTTTACTGATGATTTCTCTTCCTTAGTGAACTAGGTGCTGTGTTGTAGTCATCTTCTTTGATTTCCCCTCCTTTGGGGCAGAGGATATATGTACCAGGTCCTGAAGCCAAAGAGCAACCTAAGTTATGCTTTGTTTTTTTATAGCTGATCTAAGAGAGGAACTGATGGCTATCATCTGTAATCCTAGCTACTTAGGAGCTGAGATTTGAGGATTGTGTTGAAGCCAGCCCAGGCAGTCAAATCTGAGAGATTCTTATCTCTAACTAACCCAGCAAAAATGCTAAAGTGAAGGTATGACTCAAGTGGTAGAGTGCCAGCCTTGAGAGAAAAAGCTAAGCAAGAGTTTGAGGCCTTGAGTTCAAGCTCCAGTACTGACATGGATGGATGGATGGATGAATGAATGGATGGATAGATGGATGGATGAATGGATGGATGGATGGATGAATGGATGGATAGATGGATGGATTAATGGATGGATGGATGGATGGATGGATGGATGGATGGATGGATGGATGGATGGATGGAGCAAGGTGGTCTATCACCATCAAACAGAGCTTGATTTACTTCCTACCTACCCTGAATGGAATTCTGGAGATTCTACTATCTCATCCTGGCTACATAAAATGTAAAGCTGCAGCCACTCAGCAAAAATGCTGAGGTTGAGCTGGCAGGAGCTGAGGCTGAGGCAGAGCTTGAGTTGCCTGGCCTGGCTGTCTAGCTCTGTGAAGAAAGAGAAGTAGAGAAATAGGATGGAGGCTTGTGTCTTTTGGCTGCTCTATCCTATAGTTAATGTTAATGCTGTCAGACCAGTGAGTCAGATTAGTGATGCTCCTTGCAAGGGGCAGCACAAAGTGGGGAAGGACAGCCCTCCTTAGCAGAAACATGAAAGGTTCAGACGATCTGAAGGTTTCTCTGTAGTGCTGTCATTTGGTACACCCTACCCCACCCACATACATACACTCAGCCTTTGTAGCTGTCCACTTCTACCCAGCTTTGCATAAGCATGAGTGATCACAACATCCAAGGTTGGATACCCAGGAGTTATCTGCTTCTGAAAACAAATCCTATACCTTACAGAATTAAAGCAGGCATAGGCCTAGACTCCAGAATCAAACTTTACCAAAGAAATTCTTCTTCTTGGCTAGGTGCCAGTGGCTCACTCGTGTAAGTCTAGCTAATCAGGAGGCTGAGATTATAGTTTGAAGCCAGGAAAATCCATGAAACTCATCTCCAGTTAACCACCAGAAAACCGGAAGTGGTGCTCTGGCTCAAAGTGGTAGAGTACTAGCCTTGAACAAAAGAGCTCAGGGACAGTGCCCAGGCCCTGAGTTCAAGCCCTACAATTGACAAAAAAAATATTCTTTTTGCTGCTTTACCTCCTGTGCTACTATATACATTTCTACACATTCCATGTTTTCTATCATGGTCGTGCAACTTTTGATCATTGGGGAAAAAGTAAAGAAATAAGCAAGAAGAAAAATTCTCTTTTGAAGGCGGAAAGAGATATGTGTATGTTGAATTGTGTGAGTGGCTACAATTGAGCACTAAATTTAGTCCAAGTTTCCTGGAAGCCAGGGCACAAAGGGAAGTTGGGTGGGGCATGAGATTGTTGTCAGATAAATTAAGCATACAATTTAGTCCATAGGCACATGTTTAGGGGTTACAAATTCAAAGTATTTTTATGTAGGAAAGTTGAGGACTGTAAATTTTTTCACTTGCTGTTTTGTGGAAATTGTGTTTATGTTCTTCAAGAGGTGATATTCTATATAGAATCTCAATAGGAGCTGAGGGTTTAATAATGGATCTCAACTTATAAAAGTATTTCTGTGGGTAACTGAACTAATGTGGTCCAGGTAAATTGCTTTGTGGTGACCCTCAGTATGTAAAAGGAGAGAACATAAATGGCTCAGGAGATTTATCTTTCTCAAATATCAGCTACTTCAGCTCTACTTCTGGCAAGTTCTGGATATTAGTCAGGTCAAGGTTGAGCTTTCTGAAGTGTGCTTGAAGTCTACTGTTTTGTGCTCATTGGAGTGACCCATATTAGACCAGATAAGTGCTATAAAGATCCACCTCTTGTTACAAAGACCAGGATCTTGGTTTGTGTCTGCTCCCAATGGTACTGGGATTTGAACTTGGTCTCATGCTTGCCGGGCAAGCACAATACTACTGAGCCATGCCTCTAGCTGGTTTTGACTGGTTATTTACTGCCCATCCCGCCGTGCTTCATTTGTTTATTTTTAGGCTTCCCATCCTGGCTTTATCTCCAGAGGTCTGCAGGCTTGTAGGCTTTTCTGCCTAGGTTGGCCTGACATTGGGATCCTCTCAATCCCAGCCTCCTATATGGCTCTAGATGACAGGTGGCCACTGTACTTAGCTATAGGTTTAAAAGAAGTATCACTCACTCTTCTTCCCAGGCTGGCAAACTGCAGTCCTCCATTCTCAAGTTCCTACACTGTGTCTTCATTTTTGAATGGATACTTCCAGGATGGAAGCAAGAAAGGAAGGACAATTATTGAATAATCAATAATGCTAGCCCTACTGACTAGAAATGTCCCCTTAGATTTAGATAGCAGGTGTTTGTTTAGTAACATAACTAGTGACTACAGTTTAGTTTGGACCAGATACTTCCTCTCATCTACAGAAATATTCACGCACATTTCATTGCTTTGCTGTGGAATTGAGATTAGGGGATAAAGTGCTTATCACATTGTAATTGGTCAGTTAAAGGTAGTGTTTGGTTTTGTGACAGTCTCTCATGTAATTCAGATTGGCCTAGCTTGGCCTATGTAGTTCAGGCTGCCCTCTAATTCATGATCCTTCTGCCTCAGGCTCCTGAGTGCTGGGATTATGTGTGCTCATTGCCCAGCCATGGTAGATTTTATAATGAAGTGGTGTTGAGATAAAGAAACAATGTTCTACAGAGTGCTTAGATCTGAGAAAACACTTTTTCTTTTTTGACTTGGTGACTTTTGTGATCATTATTTCTGTGGCCATTTAGTTGTTAAAACTACCAAAATGAATAGGCCTGGGCTATCCAAGCTGAATCCAATAAAGTCAACACTGTTTTCAATGAGAATATTGAATGAGTAGGAATAAAATTGATTTTTGTGTGTGTGTGCATGTATATGCATATGTGTACACATCCTACAGGTACTGGGGCTTGAACTCAGGACCTGGATGCTGTCTCTTAGTTTTTCCTTCAAGGCTGGCACTTTATTACTTAAGATGCAGCTTCATGTTTGACTTTTTTGCTGATTAATTGGAGATAAGTCTCATAGACTTTCCTACCTGAGCTAGATTCAAATCTCTATTCTCAGATCTCAGTCTCCTGAGTGGCTTGGATTACAGGCACAAGGCATAGGTGCCTGGGTAAAACTGTTTTAAAACAGTGGAGCTAATTAATTGGGGCATATATCTTCTTTTTTTTATACTAAAGTGCTTTTTGTTTTTGCTGTTTTCAAGCTAGATGTGGTTTAGATAGGCTATCTGATTTCTCCACACCTTTCTATTCTTTCATTGTAATTACTGTTCATCCACACCTTTCTATTCTTTCCTATCAGTTTCTTTTTTGGAGTGCTTGCACCTTGATTTTATTTGCATTAAGGCCAAACAACTAGCATGGCAGGCTATGTTCTAGCAATAGCTGGGTCTGTGGTTTTCTGTAGGAGTAAAGGGAACCCTTTGTTTCCTGTGTTTTCTCTTTCTATATCTAAAATTTATTTGTGCTTTTGGTCACCACTGCCCTTAAGTGTGGTCTTCAAGGAACTGTTTATGATGATAACTTCCTTTTCCCCCTTTCTGGGCCATAATTAACAGCTTAAAGTCATTATATAGGTGCAGAACACTTTTTACTAATTTTAGCTTATTATTATTATTATTTCTTGCTCTATGTTTCTTTCTGCTCCCCAAGCTTTCCTGCACTTTGTTTTTGTTTGGAGTAAAATTTATAATTTTTTGTGGTACTCAGGATTGAACCGAGGACTTTGCATATCCTAAGTACTGGCAGGTGCTCTACCACTGAGCTACATCAACAGCACCCTAGAACTCAATTTTAATGTACCCTTTTAGAGATCAATTCTTACCCTTTGGAATGTTCTTTGTGGAAGACAGCTATCAGTGAGCCACCTATAACATTTGGAGCAGACCATGCAGTTTCACCCATGGCATAAATTGAATTCTTTTTTTTTTTTTTTTTTTGTCGGTCGTGGGGCTTGAACTCTGGGCCTGGGCGCTGTCCCTCAGCTCTTCAGCTCAAGGCGAGCACTCTACCACTTGAGCTACAGCGCCACTTCCGGTTTTCTGGTGGTTTATTGGAGATACGAGTCTCACAGTCTTTCCTGCTCGAGCTGGCTTTGAACCGTGATCCTCAGATCTCAGCCTCCTGAGTAGCTAGGATTACAGGCGTGAGCCACCAGCGCCCGGCATAAATTGAATTCTTAAGGCTCTTGACAATTACTGAGTTGTCACTACAGTCCATATACCAAAAAAACTGTTCTGAGCCTGGAGTCCTTCATGTTCTAGGGGGCTCACTGGAGTAGTCTCTAGGTTTGTGAACTGGTTTCTAAAGCTTAATAAAACTAATTAATTATAATATTAAAGGCTATTTTTGGTAGAATTACATAAAATTTATGGGGGTGAGAGGGTGTTTAAGAATAAGTACCTCCTGCTAGTTAGAAGCTTCATTACTTGATGAGTGCAGTTTGGTCAATAGCCTTTCAAAGTTCAAGGTTGATGATAGCCAGACATTGAGTAACAGGAAAGAGCCTTTGATGGTGATATTACAGCCCTAAGCTAGGAGTAGCCTGACTGTGTTCTGTAGAACACTAGCCGTGGGTAGGGGGAGACTAGCATCCTGTGGTGGCCCAACTTTTTACTGTCTTACTGGATTTAATCCATAATAGCATTTGAACAAAGAGACTACACAGCTAAAACCAAACAACACTTCTTGAAATGCCTGTTCTGAGTTACCAATAATGTGAAAATCAGTTTCATTTTCTTCTATAAAAATCATGGTAGGGGCTGGGAAGGTGGCTCAGTGGTAGAGCGCTTGCCTTGCATGCCTGAGGCCCTGGGTTTGACTCCTCAGCACCACATAAGCAAAAAGAAAAAAGCCGGAAGTGGCGCTGTGGCTCAAGTGGTAGAGTGCTAGCCTTGAGCTGAAGAGCTGAGGGATAGCACCCAGGTCCAGAGTTCAGACCCCACGACCGGACCCAAAAAAAAAAAAAAAAATCATGGTAAATAGCTGGGTGGGCACTGGTGGCTCAGGCCTGGAATCCAAACTACTAAGAGGCTGAGATCTGAGGATTGAGGCCAACCAGGGCAAGAGTCCTCAGGACTCTCATCTCCAATTAACCACCAAAAAAACCTTAAGTGGAGCTGTGGCTTAAGTGGTATTTTCAGAAAAAAAGAGCTCAGGGACAGCGCCCATGCCGAGTTCAAACTTCAGCACTAGCAAAAAAAAAAAAAATGTCAAGGTAAATAATGTATTTGTGTTGCTTTTGTCTGGCTTTTTACAGCATTCCTTTCAGCTTGCACATAAAGCTTTTCCGTGTGCTTGGTGAGGGGCCCACACAGATCTGAGTTAGAGCTAGTAAGGGGAGACAGAAGGAGTGTACCCTGCTTGCACATGTATGTGTAAATACATGCACATGCCATCTATTAGGTCTAGTAATTAAACTTATACCAAAATGTAATAAAACACTATATTTCTACTTAGATACATTCCCTGATATTCTGTTTTCTTCTGTTTCAGCTTCTGAGAGGATGGAGGGATTTAATGATGGTGTCACTGGTGTCCACAGCCCATCAGGCAGCCACAGGAAGAGCATGCATGCTGCTTCCACGCTCACTGATGGTGTCCCAAGGGTGCTCCGGTCTTTGGCTGTCAGCCTGGCACCTGTAAATGAGACAGAGGGCTTCCCTGATCACTTCAGAACTGCTACAACTTCTATCTCACCCACTGTGGAAGAATTGAGAACTAACAGTAAAGTAACTGAGAACCCAGGAGATGAAGAATTCCTTGAGCCATCCACAGAAAATGAATTTGGATTTACATCTTTACATGGGCAAAATGACTCCTTAAGTAAGCATTCCATTTTGATCAGTTGGGACATTTTTGAATAATTTTCTCTGGGGGCTTCTTCAAAGACCATCTGTAATCTCTGAAGTAAAAGTGTGCTCTCTGATGACAGGAACTCCTTTGTCTGGTATATCATATTACTGCATTGGTACTTTCATCCTCATGACAGCATTGAAGTTGAGTTGGGCTAGTATCACCCCTCTTATTGATCTTTTTTGGTGACAAAACTGAGGTGTAGAGCAGGGGTGAGGAACCTCTTCATTCTTGACTGTAGGTCCACAAAACCATTTGCTACATGATGGAATAGACATGTCTGCTTCTTATTGGCTCCTAATTGATAATTTTATATAGACTGCAGATAATGCTAAAAACATCCAAATGACTCCTGTTAGAGGAAAAGTTTCCGCTCCCCTGGAGGAGGATTTAAGTGATACCTGCCAGCCTTGTAGATTGCTCAGCAAAGTGGAGGGTGCTCACAGTTGGTTCCACATTCCATTCATTCTACTGTATCATCTTCATAATGATACTCAGCCTTCCCCCCTTTTCTTTTTTGTTTTTGTAGGTTGTGGGGCTTGAACTCTGGGCTTGGGACCTGTCCCTGTGCTCTTCACCTCAAGGCGAGCGCTCTACCGCTAAAGCCACAGTACAACTTCTGGTTTTCTGGTGGTTAATTGGAGATAAGAGTCTCACGGACTTTCCTGCACAGGCTGGCTTTGAACTGCGATTCTCAGATCTCAGCCTTCTGAGTAGCTAGGGTTACAGGCATGAGCCACCAGTGCCCAGCTCTCAGCCTTTCTTTATGGCCTCAGGGCCTGGGCATGTCCTTCAATTTCTTTTGTGCAAAGCTGGCACACTAGCACTAAGCCACATCTCCACTTCTGGCTTTTTTGATCATTTATTGTAGATAATAGTTTCATGGACTTTTCTGCCTGGGCCAGCTTCGAACCTAGATCCTTTTGAGGTTCAAAGCCAGCCTGGGCAGGAAAGTTCAGTGGACTCTTATCTTCAATAAACCACCAGAAAACCAGAAGTGGCACTGTGGCTCAAGTGGTAGAGCTCTCGCTTTGAGCTGAAAAGCTGGGAGACAGTGCCCAGGTTCAGAGTTCAAGCCCCATGACCGACCAAAAAAAAAAAAAGAACCTAGATCCATCCTTAAGTCTCAGCCTCCAGAGTAGCTAGGATTACAAGCCACTAGCCCTGGGCCAATAGTTAATTTTTAACTAGTAGGAATTAGAATGGTAATTAGTATTGCAACTGTTTTAGAAAAGTACTTTGACTATCAACTGTACTTAAGCACATTGTATTAATTGGATATCATAACATACTCCCTTGAACTACTTCTCAGGGGAAAGAGATTGAAACAGTCAAGCCTATTACTCTTATTTACATATGCTATTTAAATGTCCCCATTTACTACTTTTATTTTTAGTATTGTTATCTTACTGACATCCCCAAAATTTTAATTATTTGGAAGATGCTAATGTGTGTCAGGTGATAGAAATAATAAACACTAGGTAAGATTTCTTACAAGAGGAATCTTTCCTTAGAGAGGATTCACCTTTGTAAAAAAAATAAATTTATTGTTGTTTTAGAGGTAAAAAACACTAGGGTTACCTTTACATACATCAGGTATTAAGTACATTTCCTTTCGCATAGTGTCATCTGTTCTCATTCCCTCTGATTCCCTCCCTCCCCTCTCCACCCACAAGTTGCATAGTTCATCAGTGACCAGTGCAGCCAGTGTTCCACAGCTGCACTTTGTCACCCTTTTTCCTCTGATTCTGTGCCCTCATCCTACCCTCCCACAGATGGGCACGTGATACCAGATAAAAGGTAAAGAATACAGAGTCATAAAAAAGAAAAAACAAAAGTCCTTTGTTTCCATACCTTTGGAGTTCATTTCAGTATGTATTTTATTTTATATATATATGAAGAGGTGCTTGGGTATTGTACTTTTGTGATTCTCTCCTAAGGCTATCTTCTTTTGGTCTTACTGTGTGTGGGTATCTAGAATTCTGTGCAATTTGTCATATCACACTGCATTTTAAGTCTAACTTGCATCTCAGAGAGTATATGTGCCATCTGTCTCTCTGATCTTGGCTTAGAGAGGACTCACTTCTTAGTCGCTGAGGATCTTTTTCATACCCTGTAATGGCCTTTTCCCCTTCTAATACCTTACAGCCCTTGGAGGACATCAGCTTGCCAGCAGCTCTGAAAGGCTCAGGCCTCAAACGGAGACTGTGTTAAGGTCACTACCTGCCATTGGAGCTGGAGAAAGCACAGCACACTGGTTCTTGACCAATAGCAAGACATCTGCAAATGTGAGAGAAAGCTCTCCTTCATATCCTGAGGTTGTGAACACTTTAGTTTTGACCCAATTCTCAGACTCTGCTCAACAGTCCAAGGGAGGAAACTCAGTGCTGGGTGAGAGAAGTTACTCAGAGTCTTCATTTACATCTTCCTCAGAAAGCCTGGATTCCTCAGCACCACCTGGAGAACGCTCAAGTAAGATTTCATTTTACAGAAGTGTACCCTGGGGAAGTGGGACAGAGGGAATTAACAATGTGTATGATCTTCTTAGTACTAAATTTTATTTTATTAATGCAAACTAAAGCATACACTGATGATAATTCTATTAGAAATTACTTTTTATTTATAGGCTCACACCTAGCTACTCAGGAGGCTGAGATCTGAGGATTTCTGTTCAAAGCCAGCTGGAGCAGGAAAGTCCATGAGACTCTTACCTCCAGTTAAAATTCTGGAAACTGTGGCGCAAGTGGTAATGCTAGCTTTGAGCAAAAAATCTCAGGGACCTGAGTTTAAGCCCCAGAACCAGCATATACACACACTAAAATAATTCCTAGCCGGGTGCTTGTGGTTCACACCTGTAATCCTAGCTGCTTAGAAGACTGAGATCTGAGATCACAAGCTACTCAGAAGACTGAGATCTGAGGATCACAATTTGAAGCCAGCTCAGGCAGGAAAGTCTGAGAGATGCTTATCTCAATTAACCACCAAAAAGCTGTAAGTGGAACTGTGGCTCAAGTGATAGAACACTAGCCTTGAGCAAAAAAGCTCAGGGACAGTGTCCAAGTACCAAATATATATATTTATATATATATGATATATGTATATGTATATCTTCTTATGGACCATTAGTTTCATTATTCCCAGGCCATTCTTCTAGACTGTTGACACAGGTCTTTCTATGTGTCCCTTTTATTTTTCTGCTACATATAAGAAGCTTTTAATCCTGCCTCACACACAACCCAGGGATTTCTGTGTCCATGTCTTCCCATTCTTTGTTCCAGATCTTTCAGGAAATTCATCAAAAAGAAAGCCATCTTTCTTTTAAAACAGTTTTGAGATACAAAATTTGATACAAATTGTCTGAGATAATTTTTCCATTTAAAGTATACTTTTTTTTAGAATATCCACAAAGTTGTGCAACCATCACTATTGTCTTAATTCCTAAACATCTTTATCACTCCACGGTAGTAAAAACTTATATTCACCAGCACTTGCTTCCTGGTCTACTTTCCTTCTAGCCCCTGGAAACCACTTACTTTCTTTCTATAGATTTACTTATTCTATACATTTCTTAAAACATGGAATCATATGCCAGGTGCTGGTAACTCACTGCCTGTAATCCTAGCTATTCAGGAGGCTGAGATTTGAGGACCATGGTTTGAAGTCAGCCAGGGGCAGGAAAGTCTATGAGACTTTTATTTCTAATTAACTACCAAAAATGTCAGAAGTAGAACTGTGGCTCTATTGGTAGAGTGCTAGCCTTGAGAGGAAAAAAAAAAAAGCTCAGAGACAGTGCCTAGGCCCTGAGTTCAAGCCCCAGGACCAACACTTATACAAAAGGAATCATATAATACATTGTCTTTTGTGACTTTCAGGTCTTACAATGTTCTCAAGATTCACTCATGTTGTAGTATGTGTCTTCATTTCTTTTATAGCCTCATAATACTCAGTAGTTATATACTTTCACCAATTCATAGATGTTTTATGTTGTTCTTTCCTTTTGGCTAGTATTAATAATGTTCCCTTAAGCATTCTTGTGTGAATGTTTTATATAGACATGTTTTCCCTTGGAATTTCCAGCTATATGGTAGCACCATTTTTAAGCTTTTGAAACCTACCAAACGGTTTACTAAAGTGGCTGCGCCATGTTATGCTCCTATTAGAAATGCACAATTGTTCCAGTGTCCCCTATCTTCACAAATACTTGTTACTGTTGATCTTTTTTAATATAGCCACCTTAGTGAGTGAAGTGGTATCTTACTGATTTTGATTTGCATTTCTCAGCTGAGTAATGATGTCATATGGTTTACTGCTCTTTTGTATATCTTCTTTGACCATATCTATTCAATTGGCTGTCTTGTTATTATTAAGTATAAGAGTTCTTTGTATATTCTGAATACTAGTCTCTTATCAGATATATAATTTCAGGTATTTTATCCTATTCTAAGGCTTGTCTTTTTAGTTTTTGGATAGTATCACTGAAGTACCTAAGATTTAACTTGTAGTAGTTTTCAATTCTTACTCCTTTACCACTAATTTTATTTCCTCCATATGAGACTCTGTTATTCAAGAAATGACCATTTGTTACTTCTTATGTAACATGAAAAAAGAACATGCTGGGTGCTGGTGGCTCACACTTGTAATCCTAGCTACTCAGGAGGCTGAGATCTGAGGGTTGGTAATCAAAGGCAGCATGGACTGAAAAGTCCCCATGAGACTCTTATCTCCAATTAACCAATCAAAAACCAGAAGTGACACTATGGCTCAAGTGTTAGAGTGCTAGCCTTGAGCACAAAGAGGCTCAGGGGCAGTGCCTAGGTACTGAGTTCAAGCTCCACAACAACCAAAAAAATAAATAAAGTAACACTTATAGGTAGAGGACTCTTATACTTTTTTATGTCTGTGCATGGGGAAAAGGTGATTTTAGTGTAGTCAGATTTGGGATTCAGTGGGTTTTTTAAAAGGAAAAAAAAAACATGTAAGAAGTAGGTCTCAGTCTTGAAATGATCTCAATGTGGTGAACACAATGCTTTATCTCCTTTCCTCTGAATCACACAAAGCTGACACAAACTACAGTCTGGACTTTCGGAGTTTATTCTTTTTTCTAGGTTCAGATTTGGATCCTCTGTCTCAAGTCATGACTCTGTTAGGCCTACAACTCTGATAATGTTTACTTAACAGAGTATATAAGATCTTTTTGTCCAAAATCCCTTTCTCTTTCTCCAGAGAAATTATGCCCAAAGTCTCTCCTGGTTGATTCCCAACGGTCTCCAAGCTCTTCAGCCTGCTTCAGGTCACCTCTCAGGTCACCCAGAGCTATTGCTCTGGGTCACTGGATGTCCTGTCCCCATGCTCATCCTTGATTCTCAATTCAAATCTATCCTGAAATGAATTTACCTACCACTCAATTTTACATCCATTTTCCACCAAAACATGTCCATGAAAATACTAAGAGGGTCCCTTATTCATTATAGGAAATAAGAACTAGGAAGAGTTCCTTTTCTCAGAGCCAGACTATGAAGAGTCTAAGCCAAGAACTGGACTTCACTTTGGTGAAGTCTCTGAAAAGGGTTTATTTGATAATTAAATATAATGGTCTAGGCTAATATATTTGGTGTCAGGAGCTTGAACCCAGGGTCCTGTGCTCTCCTTTAGCTTTTTTCCTCAAGTCAGGTGCCCTTACAACTTGAGCTATACCTCCACTTCCAACTTTTTGCTGATTAATTGCAGCCAAGAGTCTCAGACTTTTCTGCCTGGGCTGGCTTTGAACTGCAGTCTTCAGATCCCAGACTTCTGAGCAGCTAGGTTTAGAGGCATGAGCCACCTGCCCATGGCAGTCGAGGCTCATTTTTAAGATTAACTTTTAAGTTTCATAGCATTCAACCTATAACCCCCAAAGGGGGAAAAGGATATTTATTCTTGTGTCACTTTAGTCAATAAAACAAATACATGAAAACACACATACCTTTAGCTTTAACTTCCAAACACACTCTACTTCTTGGTCATGTGCTAACACTATAAGACATGCCCCAGAGGTCCCCCCAGGGATTTCTCCCAGGGCCTTCCTTATCCCAATATTTAAAGCCCCAGCATCCTTGTCTATCCCCCATCAATTCTTCTCCCCTTCCACCACCAATTTCTCTCCTATAAACTCTGAAAGTATCACCGAGCAGAAATCCAGTCGTGGTCCTGTTTGCTGGACTAGTAAACTTTCCCATCCATTCAGGCTACCTGAACAGGGGCTTCATGCCAAGTTCCTCTGCAGATACAGACTCTGAAACCCCTCCCCTTTTTTGTGCCAGTCTGGGGCTTGAACTCAGAACCTGGGTGCTGCTCCTGAGCTTTTTTTTCACTCATGATTGCTAGTCTACCACTTGCGCCACCACCCCCCTTCCGGCTTTGTGGTGGTGAACTGGTGATGAGGCGCATGGATTTTCTTGCCTGGGCTGGCTTCGAACCCAGATCTGGCGCTCTCCGCATGAGTCACTGGGGCCCAGTCTTTGGGCGCTCACGGCTCAGGATGCCAGGCTCCGTGTTAACCCACCACCAACCTCTCCTTTTGCAGCTCAGGGCCACGCTCCTCAGGTAGGAGAAAGAACGTCCGGGTGGCGCCCCCGCAGCGGCGCGCACACCTCAGCAACGCTCGCCGGAAGTGGAGAGCAGCGCACGCTGCGGTCTCTCAGCTTCACCGACGCCTCTGCGGACGCGGGAGCGCGCGCAGCCCAGCGCGGGAACGTGACGGACCGCTCGGGCCTGCTGTCTCTGCCGCCCGCCGCCGCCGTGCCTGCTCTCGGAGGTGGGGTGCCTGCTTCCTCACGGACACTCCGTTTCCCAGGGCTGGGGTGATGAAGGTGCCAGGCGACCCAGGAAGAACCCTAAAGCTCCTTAGCCGGGAGAACTTTCTGGAGGTTCCTCCTCAGGAAGACCACAGGCTTAACCCTCCCCCACCCCCGCCTGAGCCATCTGCTCGGGCCCCAGGCTTACAATAAGACCAGTCTGGAAAAGGAGTATGTCGTGGTAAAACTGGGAGGGTTTTCCTTTTGCTACTTGAGGACAAATAGTTATTTAGGGACTTAAGAGCCTTTTCGAGGGCGCAGCTTGCTTTTTTGGGAAAGGAATATGGACCTTTTTCTTAATTTTAGGACCCTGCTCCCCTCCTCTCTTTTATCACTGCTTGCGCTAAGCATCTACTCAGAGCAGACACTGATTGTGCTTAGCCTTCCCAAATTGTCTTTACCCAGAATGCTCACGTTTGGAAATCACCCTTTCCCAGACCAAACATTTCACCTGCTCGAGTTGGTGGGTACATGGCTGCAAGTCTTGGTTTATAACACCTGTGCCAAAGATTTCTTGGTTCCTTGACCTGACTTTGTTTCTTTTCCATTGTAGTCACTGGACTCAGCTATGGTGGTATAAGTGGCACGGATACTGAACAAAGGACTTCCAGTGACCACACAGACCACACTTACGTTTCATCTACTTTCACCAAAGGAGAACGTGCATTACTCTCCATTACAGATAATGGTTCATCCTCAGACATTAGTGAGAGCTCAACTTCTTATATTAAGATCTCAGACTCTCCCTACTTAGACTACACTTCTTCTGCTCAGATGCAGACTGAGAGAAATAACATCTCATCCTATGATGGAGAATATGCTCAGTCCTCCACTGAGTCACTGGTTCTGGGTACATCCAACCTTCCACACTACACATCCACCATTAATATGCCAAATACCTTGGTTCTTCTGGATGCCAGGACTGAATCTATTGGTGACTCATCTTCTTCAGGGTCCCCTTTGCCTCTGCCCTCAGTGTCACAATCGCACCAGTTGGACTCATCAACTTTACCATCAACCAGGGCCTTTACACATCAACTGAAATCTACCTCGGAGCCCTCTACACCTTTGGCTTCCTCAACACCACCTTTACCAATGGAATCTACCCATATCTCACTTTCTGTCTCACAAACAGCCTTATCACATTCATCTTCAATTCCAATTCCCCCTGGAACGAGGGAGACACCTGTGACTTTAGTTCAGACATCAACAGTAGCATCATCCTTAGCAATTTCTCATAGTGGTCAAACAGCAGACCCCAAGAACCAGAGCACCCAAGAGAAAATCATCACAGAAGGAAAGTCACCAAGCCTGGTGTCTGTGCCTACAGAGTCTACCAAAGTTGTAACAGTGAGCTTTCCTTCAGGGGTTCCTTTGCCCCCAGCCTTAGCAGAATTCTCCACCAACCCAACCCTTCCAGCCATGAGCACCAGTTTAGTCCAGATGTCTTCAGCATTGGCAGCCACCACTCTTCAGTCTGGTCACCCTTCTGTGACTAGTCCCAGCACCCTATCAAACAAAGAAACTCCAGTCCCTGATCTTGTAACTGTACATACTACATCTGGAAGACAACTCTTGCCAACCCACCCTGAAACTCGAGTGCCACAAATCTCAACAGAAGGTGCCATCACAACAGAAAGAAACCAAGTACATATAGATGATACCACAAGAGTGATCCCTGTGACTAGTGTACCTACATCAGCAAAAGAATCAACCACAAAGCTTGACATGGATGCATATAGCCCACCATTACATTTCCTCAGAACATCTCCTCAAACCACAGATGTTTCTACAGCTAAAGAGTTGACTGCTAAATCTACAACCTTTACTGCTCAGAGCACCACACAGTCACTAATAGCATTGCCACTTCCAACCTCAGGTAAAGTGCATCTTATAAATACATGTTGATTGCTAAACCCTGCCAAACACTGAGAATTCCATGGGGCTTGGGATTCAAATGAGTATGGGGCATTGGCTTGTATTTGAATAGCTTCTGGGGGTTTTTTTGTTTGGTTTTGTGGTTGTTAATTTTTTGTGCTAGTGTTCATGAGGTATATTATTTACTTACATAGGTGATATGCTTTTATAGATGATTTGGGGTAATATTTAAAGTAGAATATTACCATAGTTAGGTTAGCCCATTTTCAGGATTATTCTTTTGGCATGAGGACTCGACTTTGTCTTCCTTTTCTTTCTCCCGTTGCTTTCTTTATTGCAGATGATGGCTTTATGAAGAGGTATTACATAACTAGAATGTGACACTACCAACTACAATAGGATAAAACAGAGTTCTGGACATTGCTCTTGGGACTGCCAGTCCAAGATGACATTGAAGTCTTTGTGTCATAATGGTTTATGAATTTATGTAGGGCACATTTTTACATTATATAAAGAGAAGAGGACATTGTAGTGCTCAGCTCTGGTCCTTTTCTAAATGATATATGAAAGCTTAGTTACATTTGGAGATTTTTGGGTAAAAAGTTACAATGTTTTTTTGTGGTTTTTTTTTTTGTTGTTGTTGTTGGAGTTGAACTCCATAGGAGTTCGTAGGAGTTGAACTCAGGGCATGGGAGCTGTCCCTGAGCTCTTTTGAGCTCTTTTGAGCCACAACACCACTTCTCGTTTTCTGGTGGTTAATTGGAGAAAAGAATCTCATGGACTTTTCTGCCTGGGCTGGCTTTGAACTATGAACCTCAGATATCACCTTTCTGAGTAGCTAGGATTACAAGCATAAGCCACCGATGTCCAGCTACTATGATTTCAATATAGAAAGTCCAGGAGAAAGGCAAAATATCATAGATACACATATACACAGTATAGTAAATCTTGCCACATGTGTAATTGAAATGGTCATTGATTCAAATAGAACTTTCTGAGTAGCACAAGGGCAATATAATCATCAATTCTGAACTGGATAACCTGTATACTACATTTGCTTGAACCAGTTCTCATATTCAAGGATCCAACTGTCTAACACTTACATATAGTCACAAAATAAAACCAAACCAATACCTAGTCTTATTGCCATGTCTTCTGAACCTCTTGGGATCCAGTTTTATTTTAGTAGTGTGCATTTTCAGGGCAAGTAAACAGAAGTAAGCAAGACTCAAATATTAACTCAGAGAAATAAATATTTACCTAGAGCTGTTTTTACATTGTCTGTGTGATTAACTCTTGTTATTCCTGGTGTGTTTTTAGTTAACAGCTGTGCCACAAATCCTTGCCTTCACAATGGTGAATGCATTGAAGATCTCACTGATCACGGTTACCGATGTGTGTGCTCACCTTCCTGGCAAGGGGACAACTGTAGTGTGGGTAAGAGAAAAAGAAATGGTACATTGTCTCATTGGATTATTCATTCAGTAAGCTTCTTATCTCTTCCAAGATGTGGAAGAATATGCCTTTAAATTAATGCTCTGCTTACTTTAGAGCTACTGACATGCCCTTGCCCTTACTGAGGCACCAACAGACTTCCTGATCTGGATCCATTCTTCAGGCTCCTTCTTCCTCTACTCGTCTACACTGGAGGACCTATAGCTCCCTAAGGATACAGGCACATTTGTGCTGTTGGCATTTACTGTGCTGGTGCCTAGCCTGGAATTACCCCCACTTAAAAGTCCTTCTAGTCTTAGTCTGGATGTTATTTGAAACTGCCCATAAGTGCCCAAAGTCTAGTACTTTCTCTGTATATCCAAATAATGCCTTGTATTTATAGTTAGTTGTGTATGTGGTTGTCTCTGACTCAGTGTAGTCAATCTCTTGAGGACAGTGGTGATCTCTTACTCATCTTTGGGACTGCACTGCACCTAGTGTCATTAGGTCCTTGGTAAGTACTTGCTATACTGGATGTCTGCCACAGACTCAATATGGTCTTGATTTTTTTCCTCTGTAGATGTAGATGAATGCCTCTCAAACCCCTGCCCACCCCTGGCCACGTGCAACAATACTCAGGGATCTTTTGTCTGCAGATGCCCAGTTGGGTACCAGCTGGAAAAAGGAGTATGTAATTTAGGTAAGACAGTCTACCTTAGAATTTGTTTTGTATCACAATACAGTTAATAAAATTATACGTATTATTTACTTCCTAATCATAAATACTTGTCCAAGAGGTAAAGCTAAGAAATAGAGGAAGAGGACATTTCTTACTATCTCCTATTATTGGAGCTATACAGCTTTGTATTTTTAATGTGCATTATATTTTTAATTTGAATGATATATTTTTGTAAACTTTATATCTTAAATGTCCTCCTATATTATAAAAATATTATATAGATTTTTTTTTAACGTAGGCCTTCATGCTTTCTCAGCTTTCTTGTGAGGCTGGCACTCTACCACTTGAGCCAGGTCTCTAGCCTGGCTGTTTTGCTGGTTATTTGGGAGATGTAGTCTCATAGACTTTTTTGCCCAGCTAGCTTAAACTATGATCCTCTAGATCCCAATATTCCGATTATAAGCATGACCCACTGGCATCCAGTTTATGCAAATATCTTAATGACTACATACATAATATGCTATCATTTGTGTATAACTTTATTAACTAATCTATTCTGTAGTTAAGGAGAAAAAACTAAAGGATATTCTAACTATAGTTTTTTTCTATAATGTCCATCTTTTTTTTACATTAACAACATTTGTTGTACAATGTTTCATTGTGTGGAATTTCTACACAAATATTCAATATGAATATCCCATCAACTTCTCTCCCATCCCACTCCCCCTTCTTAAAACAATAGCAACAAGTTTCATTGTTTCATTTTCATAAATGCCAATAAACTACTTTGACCATACTCATCTTAATTCACCCTTTCTGTTAGCTCTTCTTCCTCCCACTGGTGTCCACACCATCAGGTCCTGTTTCAATTTCCTATTATTTATTTTCTTACTTTCTTTTCAGTGTGCATTTCACCAAAGGTTTCACTGTGGCATTTCAATTGTGTATAAATTATGTTTTGCTCAAAATAGTCCTCTCTGTTGCTATGTTTGTTTTTTTGCTTATTTTCTAAAAAGTGTTTTAGAGGGAGAAAAGAAAATCAAATCCAGATTGTCTAATCATATTCACACCTCCTTTCTTCCTCTCCTCTTCCCTCCCTTCCTCATCCTTGGGTTTGAACTCAGGGCCTGAGTACTGTTCCTGAACTTCTTTTGCTCAAGACGAGCACTTTGCCACTTGAACCACAGCTCTACTTTCGGCTTTTTGGTAGTTTATTGGTAGTTTATCTCATGGACCTTCCTGCCCAGACTGGCTTTGAACCACATTCATCAAATCTCAGCCTCCTGAGTAGCTAGGATTACAGTTGTGAGCTACTGGTGCTGAGGTCATTCTTTACATTTAAAAAAAAAAAAAAAAAAAGATCTTCATGTTGTTACCCACAGGCTAATACATTTCAACCAAGCCACTACTATAATTGTATAGTAGGCTGTCTGTCATATTTTGTTCCTAGTTTGGTAAATTCATGAAGCTTGTTGATTTTAAACACAAACTTTTTTAACCTTAAGGCTAAAAAGGAGATAGACAAACCAAATGAAAACTGAGGCCCTTGTCAAACTGCTAAATAGGCAAGTTTTTATAAGTTCTTTGTCTTTTACAGCAGTGTGTTAATTTATAAGAGCTTTTTTAGAAAGGGGTAACAAGTTCAACAAGAATTGTACTCACTGCCTTACATATGTAACTGTAGCCCCTCTGTACATCACCTTGACAATTAGTAATAATAATAATAGCTTTCATCTATACTGGGCATGGTCCTTGATAAGATGCTGAATTTAATATGAGAAATAGAATTTCTATGCTGGATAAGGAAATTGTCAGGTAACATGACTCATCTTGAGTCATCTTAAATTGCCCAGTATGGTACTTAACACACAAAAACTGCTCAGTGAATACTTTTTTGAGAGCTAATGTCCTTTGAAAGCATTATCTGCATGGATTCTTATTACCTGTAGGTGGGAGGAACTTTTTTTTTTTTTGGGTCCGGTCATGGGGCCTGAACTCTGGGCCTGGGCGCTGTCCCTCAGCTCTTCAGCTCAAGGCTAGCACTCTACCACTTGAGCCACAGCGCCACTTCCAGCTTTTTTCTTATGTGGTGCTGAGGAATCAAACCCAGGGCCTCCAGCATGCAAGGCAAGTGCTCTACCACTGAGCCACCTTCCCAGCCAGGTGGGAGGAACTTTTTAAGGAAGCGTGGCACCCTACTAAAATAACAGTTGAATTTTGAAAGTTGTTTTAAAATACAAGAATTGAACACTATTTTAAGATAAATAATCTAGAAATGTAGGTATCAGTCAAAATCAAGAATTAGTCTAATAATGTACTTGCATTTGGGTAACCTGTTTCATTTAGACATACTCTATTAAGAAATTAGCTAAGAATTTCCAGTTTTGTTTGGGTTCCTTTGATAGTTTTTGTGTTGTTTTTGTTCTTTTGTTTATTTCGTTTTGAGTCAGGGTCTCACTAGATAACCCTGGCTGAGCTCCACCTCATGATCCTCCTACCTCAGCCACTTGTACTAGATTCAAATGCCTGGTTTCTTTTTTTTCTTTTATTTCCTTTAAGAAGTTGTACAAAGGAGTTGCCATTTAACAAAACAGTTTATTATTACAATATATCTTGATCAGTGTCACCCCATTCAGCATTCTCACCCATCCCTCTCTTACATTGGATTCTTGACTGCATTTCCCTCCTCTTCTCCTCTCCCTTTATCTACCTCTTCCTTCTTTACTCCACCCCATCACTTTTGAGTACCTGCTTCCTGGTGTATTTTGCTGCACTTTGGTTTTATTGGCAAAGTGAGCAAACAGAGAAGCCACATTTTGAGAGGTCGAATTAGGAGGGTATTAGAAGGCAAGTGACCACAGGCAGATTCTTGTCGCAAAAATCTGAAGCCCTGAGAATACACTTACCACTGTCAGAAAACTGAGCATGAGAGCTGGAAAGGGGAGAAGAAGCAGAAAAACAGTATCGACATACCAGATCAGTTCCAATGGAGAGCTGAAGCAGAATGCCATGGTGACTGGAGAAGAGACAGGACATAGACACACCTGTGCCATAAGAGCTTTCCATTTCTTTACAAATGGTACAATAGCATTCTTTCTAATGATGAATCATCCATTGAGGGCCATCTGTGCTGATTCCATACCTTGACTATGCTGCAATAAGCATGGCTGTATTGGTGGGTTTACTGTATTCTAATCTTTTGGGTAAATGCCCAGGAGTGGAATTACTGGATCATAGGGTAGTTCATGTTTATTTTTTGAGGAACCTCTACACTGTTTCCCAGAGTGGTTGAACAAGTTTACATTCCCACCAGCAGTATATTAGAGTTCCTCTTGGCCTCATCCTCACCAGCATCTGTTATTGTTTGTTTTCTTGATAATAGACATTCTAACTGGCTGAGATGGAATCTTTATTGTTTTGATTTGCATTTCCTTTATGGCCAGAGATGTTGAACATGTCTTTCTGTGTTTATTGTCCATTTTTACTTCTGAGAAACATTAGGGCTCTTGGGCACAGGTAGGAATTTTCTGAGTAAAGATCCAGAAGCACAGCAAATCAAAGAAAGACTTGATAAGTAGGACTACATCAAACTGAAAAGTTTCTGATTGCAAAGGATAGAACCAAGAAGCTAAAAAGACAGCCTACAAAATGGGAGAAGATTTTTCCAGCTATACATTAGACAATACCTAATATCCAGTGAACTTAAAAATTAAACCCTCAAAAAACCAACAACCAAGCTGGGTGCCAGTGGCTAACACCTATAATCCTAGCTACTCAGGAGGCTGAATATGAGGATCACAGTTCAAAGCCAGCCCAGGCAGGAAAGTCTGTGAGACTATCTCCAATTAACTACCAGAAAACCAGAAGTAGTGCTGTGTCTCAAAGTGGTAGAGCACTATCCTTGAGCAAAAAAGCTCAGGGACAGCTCCCAGGTCATGAGTTCAAGCCCCATGGCAAGCACACACACACACACACACACACACACGCGCGCGCCACCACCACACCCCCGCCCTCCCCAACAACCCAATTAATAAATGGGCTCATTTGCTAAGGAGAATCTTCTCAGAAGAAGAAGTAAAAATGATCAATAGACACATCAAATGCCTGGCTTCTAATGCCTTGGGCCATACCTATGGCTATGAGCTTCAATTTCATCTATAAAGTCAAAAAGCGGTATCATTTAACATTAACATTGGTGTTCAAACTCTTAGACTAGATTGAAAGCTATGAAAATACAAAGTAATAATTATGAATCTCTCAAAAATTAACCTAGCTGGTATAGAGAAATTTGAAGTACAACTCTTTTCCACAATTATGTAACTGCAAGCATGAAAATACAAATGTCTTCAGAGAAATCCCTGCCTGGAAAGAGAGCAGGGTTTAGGAAGAGACTGATAATCTTTCATGATGAAAATCTAACATCTGTCATGTTTGTGTACCTAAAGTTTATACTAGTGATGTACCTCTATATGTAGGATCTGGGTAAGAAGCTAGGTATGTGAGGTAAAGATGAACTGGTTGGGTAACTGTTCTGGAAGCCTGTGTGCCACATCTCACAAGGTAGCACAGATTTAGAGGAGAGCAGCTCCATTGTGTTAATAATCATCTTTCCCTTTTCAAGTCATTTAGCTTCATTGTTCATAAACATCAGAGGAACATGCAAATTAGAACATGCTGAAATGCTTTTATTTGTCCAAAATGTTTTCAAAGAGCTCCCTGCTGCTCAGAAAGAGTCCTAAGCAGCTGGCTTCCCTGAACTGTGGAACAAGCAAAAAGATGTTAAATAAGGATTAAGGGCTTTAGACAGCTAACTAGAAGATGTTAAATGTTTTCCCTAGCTCATTTGTGGACCTTTTTCTTAATTCCACATGCAAGCTTCCCATGAAATAGCAGCTTCATGGACTTCTGTGTTTTGGGTTATTTTTCTTCTGTCCAGAAGGAAAGATAAGAATTTAATATAATGGAAGATAAGAGCCAGATATAAAGCAGGCTGTGCTAATTTTTGGTTGTCTGCCCATTTGTAAGCCCCATTCCCCTCAGGCCCAATCAGCACAAATTGGTGTTAACTAGAATCTTATTTTATGAGTGAAATGGACCTTGAAAATAGGGCTGCTTTTTTTTTTTCATTTCTGAACCCAACAGTGTCTTGAATATGGATTGCTTTCATTATGTGGCTTATAATCATGAAGTCTGGCAGCCCCCTAGAGCATAAGCCCATGACAAATGTTTGGCAAATTTCTGAGTAATTCTTTGGTTATCTTCAGAATAACAGATACCTCAGGGGCAGAGGCTATAGTGAAAACTTCTTTAAAGGTGGATGCATATGAATTTGAATGTTGATTTTGGCTGGATGATCTTTCTTGGGAACTTACCTGATTTGTAGAAGTCTCTTTTATCAATGATAAAATGGACATTTCCTGTGAATAAGAATAAAGGGGGTTCCTTGAAGATGGCTTTAATGAGGAAGGAAACTGAAGCACCTCCTTGAAGCGAAGGGCTTAACTTTGTTAAAAGACTGGGAAATAAGTGCTTTCCTTGGTTTAAAGTCTTATAAGGCTGACAAGCAGTTTTAGTGTACGGTGCCATTAGCTCCTCCCTTCCTGTTAGGATTATGTTGTTTAAGCCAACACATCTTCTTTGCTACATTGTCACTGAGCATCTATTACATGATGACTATTTGAGGGGCATCAAGAAGGCTTCTTCCAGCAGCACTTGCAAATACACAAAAAGTCGTAGGAATCTCCCTCACAAAGGTTCACTCAATCTTATGCTCCCTTTGCCAGGGGATCCTTTTGTTGTATTTCTAGAATCTAGAAGAGGCACAGGGCAGTTGAGATTGTTCTGTGGGGAAACTAAATGTAGCTAGGGCAGAGGTAACACATAGCCATGCATAAGTTGATCTGTTGTGTGGCCTAACACATATTATTTTCGTTTCCAGTTAGAACCTTCGTGACAGAGTTTAAATTAAAGAAAACTTTTTTCAATACTACTGTGGAAAAACATTCAGACCTACATGAAGTAGCAAATGAGATCACCAAAACGGTAAGTTTCCTGAAAGGCCTGTTCATACTAGTCCTTTGGTTCCAAGATAGAGTCATTCAAAGCTGGGAAGTGCTTAGGGTCTCCCATACCCATATTTCCAGGGCTCCTTTCCTTTGTGTTTGGAAAGGAAACTTCATAAAATTAAAAAGCCTTGGAAACAGAAGTAAAGTATTAAGACCTTGTGGTATCCAGAAGTATTTCTTTAGGTGCATCATCACATGTAGTTTTTTCTGTTACGGTGTTTCTTTTCCATATACATAGGTATAACCATGGCTAGATAACCTACACCAAGGAGTGTGAGTAAGAGGAAAGAACCACAAAATCTTAGTGTCCTGTCTGCTGTTGATCTGCAGTGTGAATTTCTCACTGTGTTTGAGGATATTGGGGAAAGTGACCCACTTTTTTTTCCTCAAAGGAATGCTAGAAGCTTAACATTAATCCTGATTATCAAGGGCTTAAGAACTCACTGTATAGATTATCTAGGTCCTTTAACTCTACTCCCTACTCCTTTGCCATTTTTTAGTATGGGATTTGAGATCAGGGCCTCAAACTTGGTAAATACTTACTCTACCTTTTGAACCATTCTCAGTGCCTTTTTGCATTGGTTATTTTCAAGATAGGGTCTCACTTTATGCCCCAGGCTAGCAATCCTATTTGTGCTTCTGTTTGTTGGTAGGATGGCAGGCGTACACCATTATGCCCAGCTATTGATTAAGATAGAGCCTTGTAAACTTTTATATTCAAGATGGACTCAGCCCATCATCCCTCAATCTCTGCTTCCCAAGGAGCTAGGCTATCACAGTGCCAGGCTAGGCTACACCTTCCCTCTTTTCCTGTTTTTTTTGTTGTTGTTGTTTGTATTTGTTTTTTTTTTTAATTGGGCAAATGAAAAAAAAATTGACAGTCAAAATCAGATAATTCATCTTGTTTTCAACTACTACCCAAGTCAAATATTTGGTGTTCAGAAAATTAAGATTTGCTACTAATTGATTTGGGGTGAGGATGGTATTTGGAAGTTGAACTTAGGGCTTCACACTTGCTACATAGCCACTCCAGATGCCCAGACTAATTGATTTCAAATTTCTATTTTACTTGCTCTTTATAAGTTAGAGTTGGTATATTAGCCATGAATTATGTTCCTATAGGACTGTGAATTTTATTTGTGTAAGGGACAGTCTAATTTCATTTCTTTATCTATTAAGTTTCTACTCTGTGACAGGGCCCATGCCAGCTAGCTCACTCCCATATGATCTTTGTAGATGACACACTGACAAGTTCTAGAAGCTACTGATATCACCTAATCTCTACAGAGCAGGTGCACAGTTGGGGAACAGTCTACTAAGTCACCTTTACTACCAATACCTATTGCAAGTTCGAGAACCCCTAAGACCATTCTGTTTCAGTAATTCACCTGAATGATCCACTGATCTTACTGAAAGCTATTATCTGTCATGATTGGCTTTATTGCAGCAAAAAATTACAGGTTAAAATCAGACAAATGGCTGGGTGCTGGTGGCTCACACCTGTAATCCTAGCTACTCAGGAGGCTGAGAGATCTGAGAATTGCAATTTAGAGCTAGCCTAGGTAGGAAAGCCCATGAAACTCTTATCTCCAATTAACCACCAGAAAACTGGAAGTGGCGCTGTAGCTTAAGTGGTAGAGTACTAGCCTTGAGCTGAAGAGCTGAGGGATAGCACCCAGGCCAGAGTTCAAGCCCCACGACCTACAGAAAAAAAATACAAATGAAGATATGTATGGAACTGAGTCCATGATGGTTCTACATGCAGAGCTTCTAGTTGTTCTTTCCCTGTGCAAGTATGGACAGGGGTAATGTTTCTCAGCAACAGTGAATGATAATATATGTGACACGTTGCCAACACGGAGCTTACTTGAGTGTTGGTTGGTATCTGAAACCTTTGTTTGGCCTCTGTCACATAGGCAAAGTTGACCGCTAATGTGGCTGAACATGTACTGCTTTATCCAAAACCCCTGCAACATATCACGTTGTTATATTTTATGGCATGGTCTAGGGTCCCTATGCGTTTTTATCAGGCACAATACTTCAGGGCTTAGAAATTATCTTGCTAGCTGGTGGCTCACGCCTGTAATCCTAGCTACTCAGGAGGCTGAGATCTGAGGATCACGGTTCCAAGCCAGCCAGGGCAGGAACTTCTGTGAGACTCTTTTTATTTTATTTTATTTTATTTTTTTTTGTCAGCTGTGGTGCTTGAACTCTGGGATTGGGTGCTGTCCTGAGCTCTTTAGCTCAAAGCTAGCGCTCTATCACTTGAGCCACAGCTCTACTTCCAGTTTTCTGGTGGTTGATTGAAGATAAGAGTCTCACAGACTTTCCTGCCCGGGCTGGCTTTGAACCATGATCCTCAGATCTCAGCCTCCTGAGTAGCTAGGATTACATGTGTGAGCCACCAGCACTCAGTTCCGTGAGACTCTTTATCTCTAATAAACCACCAGAAGTAGCACTATGGCTCAAGTGGTAGAGTGCAGGCCTTGAGCTGAAGAGCTCAGGGACAGCACCCAGGCCCAGAGTTCAAGCCCCATGACTGACAAAAAATAAAAAAAATTATTTTGGACATAACCTCTCTTTGGGCAAGGTTAAATTCTTTACTGTTTATGTCAGCTAGCCCTGTGCCAAATATTGTCATTCCACTACTGCTTCCTCTTGACTACGCTGTATAGCTAGATACTTCCTTCCAAGTTAAAGTTAGTCTATAGGGATTTAGAACCCAATGCAGAGGTATAGTCTCACATTATAAAAAGTGCAGTGACTTGATTGACTTAGTTGCTTTTTGTCTTGTTGGGTTTTTGGGGTTTTTTTTGCCCAGTATTACCATATAACTTATTGGTGATGTGACATACCTTGTCCCAAGCAACAATGAGAAATAAGCAGCAGCTAGGAAACTCACTCATAGAGTCTTTTCCAAGATGTCCTTCCATTCAACAATACCTGGAAAAGTTAATAATGAAATAAGAATGATGAGGGCTGGGAAGGTGGCTCAGTGGTAGAGCGCTTGCCTTGCATGCTCGAGGCCCTGGGTTCAATTCCTCAGCACCACATAAGCAAAAAGAAAAAAGCCAGAAGCGGCGCTGTGGCTCAAGTGGTAGAGCACTAGCCTTGAGCTGAAGAGCTGAGGGACAGCGCCCAGGCCCAGAGTTCAGGCCCCACGACCGAAAAAAAAAAAAATAAGAATGATGAATCTTTGCTATTAGACTAAAGCAATATTGTAAAAAGCCTTTGATAGCATTCTGTGCTTGACTTCATCTTTTGAAGAGTCAGAGAGCTTTGAGACATTGTTTTTGAAGACAGATGGGTCTTCATGGACAAGATATTGAGACCCACTATGCTCCAAAGAAGAGATCTCTAGCCACAGTGATGGAAGAAAGGATGAGGAAGCAGGCATGATAACTTTTTTCTCTGATCACTCTGAGAACACAAAGCAGGCACAGGGAGAAGTAGTTTTTAATTTGTTTTCAACGAAAGGGCCCTTGATCCATGTGATATAATTTCTCAGGGAAAGCCTTTTTGGGGAAGACCTATCTTTGAGTGAGGTCATTGTAGATTATGAGGGGATCTGTGTAGGGCTCAGCAGACCTGGGAGAGCCGGAAGAAGCTGTGCCTTCAGCGAACTTGTTCACTATGCAGCTTCCAAATACACAGTTGCTCCTTGGTGTTTTGAAACCCTGCGTCTTAGGAGAGATCTGCTCCTTTGAAGATGTTTTGCATCCTTGGTGCTGTTCTGAACATCACTTCCTGCCAAGATTTCCCCACTAATTTACTCTATCTCTCTGTTCCTTTGTACTCAGCAAACAACAAAAAGACATTTAAAAAGAGACATTGGTTCTGTATAAAGCTGCCTGTTGATAACTTGATGGCTGGAAAAATGCCTATTTTATCCTGAAATAAGGAATCAGTTTTTAGTCCAAGGCTTTTGTCTATCAGTTAATGACAGTCCTGTTCTTCTTTGCAGTTAAATGTGTGTTTTTCAACATTACCTGGTTATATCCGATCTACAGTTCATGCTTCTAGGTAAGAAATAGAATTATATTTCCTTTTGAACCAGCCTGTGGAAGCGGCGGCTGCTCTAACATGGGTGATAAAAACTGGGCTCTATTTTGACCAAACCACTGGGTAATCCAGGACCAAGGTCACTGGACCTTCATGCCCTCATATTCCCTCACTGGAGAATGGCAGTGACACTTAATTTCCAAAATCCCTGAGGACCGAATGCCATTTTAGGTTAACTAAAATCTCACAAACTTTTCCCTTAGGGAGTCTAGTATGGTGATGATCTCAGTGCAAGCCATGTTTTCCCTGGCCTCCAACGTGACACTGTTTGACCTGGCTGATGGGATCCAGAAATGTGTCAACTCCTGCAGGTCCTCTGCTGAGGTCTGCCAGCTCTTGGGGTCTCAAAGGAGGATCTTTAGAGGTAAGAGAGGAACTTTCCCTTATAGTCAGGCACAAACCTAGAGACAAACAATAAGACATTCAGAAATCAGGCCCAGGAAAGCTCACACAGGAACTTGTACTTGGAATGATTGTGAAACACAAGGCTTCATGAACACAGGCACACAAGGTTTTTGGTTTTTCTGGTTTTTTTTTTTTTCAAAAATTTTTATTGTGATTAAGTGGTTACATAATTCCCCAAATTTCACAGTATTGTGGGATAGTGATGCTTAGTTAAAGTCACAAACACATTTTAACTTTCATGAGGCAAATAGTCTATTGTAGTCTATAACATTTATGAGTTCTATGAGCTTTGACAATACAGTTATTTCTTCCACATTGAGTGATATGGGGGGGGAGGTCTGGTCGTGGGGCCTGATCTCTGGGCCTGGGCGCTGTCCCTCAGCTCTTCAGCTCAAGGCTAGAGCTCTACCACTTGAACCACAGCGCCACTTCCGGCTTTTTTCTTTTTGCTTATGTGGTGCTGAGGAATCGAACCCAGGGCCTCTTGCATGCAAAGCAAGCGCTCTATCACTGAGCCACCTTCCCAGCCTCTGTACATTTCTTTTGTTTTGCATAGCATCAGCTGTTCCCTCTTTCCCACTTGTTCCCTCCCTCCCATCGCTGCCATTGAGTTGCTTAGTTTGTTTTGATCAATGTCCAGTGCAGCTGATGGGTCCCGCTGTTGTATGTTTTTCCCTGATGCCCTCTAGTTCTGTGTCATCCTCCTGGTTTCCCTCTGGTGTGCACATACATACCATGTATGTGATCAGCAGCATGGGGTTATTTAGTAGTGATTTGACCAGATGAATGGAAGTCCTTTGTTTCTTAAGTCTTATTAATTTTGTCATATCACCTTATGTTTTAGATTTAACATCCACTTATCAGGGAGACCATGTGCCGTTTATCTCTTTGCTCTTAGTTTACCTCGCTCAACATGATTCCTTCTAGCTTCATCGATTTCCCTTCAAATGCCATTATTTTGTCCTTTCTAATGGCTGCATAATACTCCATTGTGTATAGATACCACAATTTTTGGATCCATTCATCTGTGATGGGACATCTGTGTTGTTTCCATATCCTGGCTATTGTGAACAGTGCTGCAATAAACATGGAGGTGCATGTGTCCTGTATACTGGTTCCTGTTGTTCAGGATAGATGCCTAGAAGTGGTATGACTGGGTCATAAGAGAGGTCAATCTTTAGCTTTCTGAGGACCCCCCAGACTGCTTTCCAAAGTGGTTGTATAAGTGTACATTCCCACCAGCAGTGTAATAGGTTCCTCTTTCTCCGCATTCCCCTCCAGCATTTGTCATTGGCTGACTTGAGGATGTAGGACATTCTGACTGGGGTAAGGTGGTATCTCAGGGTTGTCTTTATTTGCATTTCCTTCACCACCAGGGATGGTGAACATTTCCTCATGTGTTTCTTTGTCATTTTTATCTCTTCTTCTGAGAAGTCTCTTTTTAGTTCCCTTGTCCATTTAGTAATTAGGTTTGGGAGGGATTAGTTTCTTGAGTTCCCTGTATATACTGGATATTAACCCCTTGTCTGATATACTGCTGGTAAATATTTTTTCCCAGTTAGTTGGTTGTCTTTCTAGCTTGGTTGCTATAGCTTTAGCTGTGCAGAAACGTTTTATTTTAAGGTAGTCCCATTTGTCAAGTCTCTCTCCAATTTGTTGTGACCCTGGGACTGTTCAGGAAGTTCCTGCCTGTGCCTGTAAGTTCAAGTGTCTCTCCTACTCTGTCCTGCAGTAGTTTCAGAGATTCAGGTTTGATGTTAAGGTCTTTAATCCATTTTGAGTTAATGTTGGTACATGGTGATAAGCTGGGGTCCACTTTTAGTTTTCTGCGTGTGGCCACCCAGTTTTCCCAGCACCAGTAGTTAAAGAGGCTGTGTTTCTTCCACTGTATGTCTATGGCTACTTTGTCAAGTATCAGCTGACTGTAGGCATGTGGTTTTATTTCTGGATCTTCTATTCCATTGGTCTTCGGGTCTGTTTTTGTGCCAGGGCCATGCTGTCTTTGTTATTATGGCTCTAAAGTAGAGTTTGAAGTCCGGCATCAAGGTCCCTCCCATGTTGTCTTTTTTGCCTAGAATTGTTTTGGCTATTCTAGGTCTTTTGTTGTTCCATATGAATTTTTGGACTGTTTTCTGTATTTCAGAAATGTACGTCATTGGGATTTTAATAAGAATTGCATTGAATTTATATATTAATTTTGGCAGTATTGCCATTTTCACTATATTAAGTCTGCCTATCCAAGAGCATGGAAGGTCTTTCCATTTCCTTGTGTCTTCTATAATTTCTTTCTTTAAATTTTTATAGTTTTCATTAAATAGTTCTTTTACATCTTTGGTTAGGTTAATTCCTAAATATTTTATTTTTTTTGTGGGGGGGGTATTGTGAATGGGGTTGCTTCCTTTATTTTCCTCTCTGCTTGTATTGTACATTGTCAGTGTACAGGAAGGCAACTGATTTTTGTGGGTTGATTTTGTATCCTGCTACTTTGCTGAAGTGATTTATAGTTTCTAAGAGTTTGGGGATGGAGTTTTTGGGATCATGAAAGTATAGTATCATGTCATTTGCAAAAAGGGATAGTTTAGCTTCTTCTTTCCCTATGCGAATCCCTTTAATGTCTTTTTCTTGCCTTATTGCTCTGGCTAAGGGTTGAAGGACTATATTGAAGAGGAGTGAAGACAGTGGGCATCCTTGCCTTGTTCCTGATTTTAGGAGAATTGGTTGTAGTTTTTCCCCATTAAAGATAATATTGGCTATTGGTCTTTCGTATATGGCTTTTATTGGTTTAAGGAATATTCCTTCTATTCCTATTTTCTCCAGAGCTTTTAACATGAATGAATGTTGTATTTTATCAAAAACCTTTTCTGCATCTGTGGAGATAATCATGTGATTCTTGACCTTGACTCTGTTGATGTGTTGGATTACATTTATTGTTTTACATGTGTTAAACCATCCCTGCATCTCTGGGAAGAAGCCTACCTGGTCCTAGTGTATGATTTTTTTATGTGTTTTTGGATTCTGTTAGCTAGAATTTTGTTAAGGATCTTTGCATCTGTGTTCATCAAGGAGATTGGTCTGTATTTCTCTTTTTTGGTTGGGTCTTTGCCTGGTTTGGGGATGAGTGTGATACTGGCATCCTAGAATGAGTTTGGGATAGCTCCCTCTTTCTCTGTTTCTCTGAAGAGCTTGAGGAGTATGGGTATTAGTTCTTCTTTAAAGGTCTTATACAGTTCTGTTGTGAATCCATCTGGTCCTGGGCTTTTCCTTGTTGGAAGACTTCTGATTGCTTCCTGTGTCTCGTTGTAAGATATTGCTATACTTAATTGATTTACTTCTTTGCTCAGTTTGGGCAACTTGTTTTTCTCTAAAAATGCATCCATTTCTGCTAGGTTTTCTTTCTTTAGAGTATAATTTTTGAAAATAGTTCTTTATAATTGTTTGGATATCTTGGGTATTTGTTGTGATTTTTTTCATGACATCCCTGATCTTGTTAATTTGGGTTTCCTCTCTTCCTTTCATAATTAATCTTGCCAGAGGTCTATTAATTTTATTTTTTCAAAGAACCAGCTTTTTGTTTTATTAATTTTATTTATAATTTTATTTATCTCTTTAATTTCCGCTCTTAATTTGATTATCTGGCTCCGTCTAGTAACTTTAGGTTCCATTTTTTCATGTTTTTCTAGCTGTTTTAATTGCAACATGAGATTATTTACTTGGTCTGTCTCTATTTCTTGATGTGGGCACTGAGGGCGATAAATTTGCCCCTCAGGACTGCTTTTGCTGTGTCCCACAAGTTTCTTTGTGATGTGTCTTCATTTTCATTGAATTGTAGGAACTTTTTAATTTCTTCTCTAATTTCTTCTGTTACCCAGGTGTTGCTTAGAAGTGTGCTGTTCAATTTCTATGTATTTGAGTGATTTCTGCAGTATGCTTTGTTATTGAGAACTAGCTTGATTCCATTGTGGTCTGATAGGATACAGGGGATTATGTCAGCCCCCTTGTATTTGCTTAAGTTCCTTGCATGAACTATGATATGGTCTATTTTGGAGAAAGTTCCATGAGCTGCTGAGAAGAATGTGTACTGTGTTGTTTTAGGGTGAAATATTCAGTAAATGTAAGTTAGTTCCACTTGAAGTATGGCCTCACTTAATTTGGTAGCTTCTTTGCCAATCCTCTGGTTGATAGACCTGTCCTTTGGTGGGAGTGGGGTGTTAAAAGTCTCCTAGTATTATTATATTGGGATCTATTTTATTCTGTAAGTTTGAGAGTATATGCTTAACATATTTGGGTGCTCCAATGTTTGGGGAGTATAAGTTGGTAATGGTAATATCCTCCTCTTGGATTTTTCCCTGTATTAATATGTCACACACAGTTTTGTATGCACATGGCCTTGAAGGCACCTGGTCCTTGGCTTTCAACTTCTATTTCTTCTAGACAATAGGGGTAAGAGGAGGGGCTATATGAGCTGATAGAACAAAGAGAAGCTACTCTTGTTTGCTGTGGATACAGGAACTCAAACATGGAGTGGACATGATTCTAAGTGACCCCCAAACCATCATCATGGTTATTACTAAGCAAAATTTTTAAAAAGCATGTGAAGTATTACATTTTTAACTGCCTCAAAAATTATAAGGTCATATAATAAGACTAGAAGAATGTAGGACAAAATGCTACCATAGGTGTTAATAATGATGAGGGCTTTCCTGTTCTGTTCTTCTTTTTTAATTTGTTTAAAATTTTTTAATGGTTATTATAAAAGTGATGTACAGAGGGGTTACAGTTACATAAGTCGGGTAATTAATACACTTCTTTTTAGACAATGTCACCCGTTCTCTGGCTTTCTCCCAGTTTTTTCCCTCCTATCCCCACCCATAAGTTATATAGCTCATTTTCAACATATCTGTTGCTTCTTATCAGAAGCTTCTAAGATGCATCTAGGGTAAGATAAAGGAAGAAAGGGATTAGAGTTAGGAAAGCAGACTTGGACTTTAGGATTGGGGGGCGTTTTACATCTATGGTGGGAAAACTATGCTGGAATCAAAATGATTTCTGCAAAGGGGCCAGTACCACTTGGAGCATCATAAGTGATGAAAGTGGGTTCATTTTACCACATCACTAGAGCTGGCAAAGGATGTAGAATCTAGTCTAAACCTCCATCTGCTAGCCAGATGCTGGATATAAATTAAAGGTATCAGGTTTTGGCACTCTATCTGGTGGTTGATTAAGGACATTCCAATTGGGTCACGATGTTGTAACTGCTGGTTCACAGAGCTTCCCACATGGGCCAGGATATTGCAGAGCTTCAGTTCTGGGTAGTTAACATTTCACTCCAAGATTAGTGCTGGAGGTCGGCTAGTTATGTATTTGAAAAAAATTGGCTAAACTTTTTGCAGTTGAAGGAGCTATCATTTGGGAAATTGGTGTAAAAAAAATTCATTGTGCTCAATTACGTTGTGATAAGAACGAGACTTTTGGGGTTTACTTTCTGATTTCCCTTGCTGAGGCCCCAAAAGTGCCCATTTTTCCTCCTCAGTGAGGATGCTATCAATTATTTATGGACTACATTCTACATGATCACCGAAATACTTTTTTTTTGGTCCCCAGCAAATGCTTACGTGCCTTGCAGTTCAAGTGGCTGGATATTTGGATTTATAAAAGTCTATGTATAATGACCCTGTCTATTCTCTTCTTCAGGCTGCTTGGATATAGCTTATAAGAAACTCCTGTGATCGGGCTGGGAAGGTGGCTCAGTGGTAGAGCACTTGCCTTGCATGCATGAGGCCCTGGGTTCGATTCCTCAGCACCACATAAGCAAAAAGAAAAAAGCCGGAAGTGGTGCTGTGGCTCAAGTGGTAGAGCGCTAGCCTTGAGCTGAAGAGCTGAGGGACAGTGCCCAGGCCCAGAGTTCAGGCCCCATGACCGGACCCAAAAAAAAAAAAAAGAAACTCCTGTGATCATTGCTTCTGTGCTGAGGCCTTCATTCTTTTTTGTTGTTGTTGTTTTTGGGTCCGGTTGGGCCTGAACTCTGGGCCTAGGCGCTGTCCTTCAGCTCTTCAACTCAAGGCTAGCGCTCTACCACTTGAGCTACAGCGCCACTTCCGGCTTTTTTCTTTTTGCTTATGTGGTGCTGAGGAATCGAACCCAGGGCCTCATGCATGCAAGGCAAGTGCTCTACCACTGAGCCACCTTCCCAGCCCTGAGGCCTTCATTCTTTACTTTTCTTTTTTGAAGAACAAAGACAGCTATGCCTAATGGCTGAAAATGGGCTCACTTTCCTGGTTTTCTATTCATGCCTTCTCCAGGTTTTAACCACCATCCAACTTGGTCTCTTGCAAACTTTTCTAAGTGCAAAATAAGTATACTCTTATTTCTGCACATATGAGTATTTTTTTAGTTTATGGGCAGCACTGGGCTACTCTAGATACCTCCATTGGAAAAGAGAGGGTTTTTTTTTTTCTCTTTGAGTTCCTTGCCTTTCAAAGAACTGTAGGTCATGACCTCCAAAAGTTTAGAGACCTTGGCAATCCCCTGTGGACTGTCTCAGCCCTAGATTTACTTAAGTGCTCATTGTCTGTTTTGACGGATGTTATGCCTAGGAAAGACTATGGGAATTGTGAACATAGAAAAATCCCATCACTGGGCCTAAAATGTGTGGTTCTGTTTGATGGATTTGTGCCAGAATGGTCTTTGAGAATTTTTAAGAAACAACTCATAGCTGAGGTGGGACTTATTCTCCTTGCTTTTGCATGAAGTTGCTCTGTGCAGGGAACTATTGGTTTAACACAGAAATAAACATTTGCAAGTAGCCTGGATCAATGAGCAGGATAGAAGGAAAACATGTCATTGGCTTCCAGAAAATATCTAATCAGGCCAGCCAGGTCTGGCCCTGGACAGAGCTGTACAGCCTAGAGAGCTTTACTGTCCTAAAAGTATTAAGGCTAAGGGACTATTATATGAGGAATTGTGAAGGTTCAGTGCCTCTCTAGTGCCAGCTTTACAGTGTTTGCCTGGTGAGATTTTCCATTTTAAATTCTTTCCCCTTTAAATACAAACTTTTTACAATAAACAAAAGAAATTTTATCACACACACAAACGGGGCTCTGGTTTAGCACGTCAGCTTCCACTGATAAAGGCAGGAAATTCAGTGTTGAGAATGGAATTGTGTCCTGCATTTACCTCCCTGCAACCAGGCTATCCACCAGCCCTAGCTCTCAGAACTCATAAGAGGGGTTGATGATGGGAATCCTGTGCAGCCTGAGCCCTGTGCCAGCCCCCCTCACTAGAATGTACCTACGCAAGGGACAGTTGGAATGATAGTAGGCTTCTTAATAGGTCGGAGTCTTCTTTAAGGTTTAAGAGGGAAGACTGTGCCTAGAAAATAAGTGGCCATTCTTCATTGCCTTCCCTTTGCAACTCTCTTCCCAAGTTGATCTAACTTTTGCCTCTTGTACATTTCTATCTAACTTTGTCCCATATATGGGTGGAGCTGAGTTACTATTCACTATCTACTTGGTTTCAGATTTTTGTTCTACTGCCTGTGAACCCCATTTACACATGGTTTTTTGTTGGGCCTATCTCAGAAGATAAAATGCACCCTCTTATCTGCTATATAAAACCTTATATAAGATCATATGCCCAACCATGAATGCTTTTTATGTAAGAATGAAGTGATTCTTCATTATCCATGACTTAATAAGAGCCTAAAGTCAATATGGAAGCAGCCTGAGTAATCGGCTCCTTGCCTGTTTCTTGGTGGTGATATGGTGGCTGATAGGCTGATAGCACCTTTGCCACATATGTACCTCATGAAAAATCCCAAAGAGCCAGAGAAGAATTAACCTCAAGGAATCATCACTGTAATTGGAGGACAACTAGATAAACATAACTAGACTCCAGCTTTGGGTATGCAGATGATTGCTCATACCTTTCCTTACAATAAGTTTCTGTTATGTTGCTTCTCTACCAGAAGTGATTTTGGCTTCTCTAGGGTAGGAGTGGGGAATTTGTGGCCATAAGATCCTTTGGTACATGGCAGGACAGATGCTTATGCTTCTCATACACTTCTCAGTGGCTGCCCATGGCCATCTGCTTATGCTGATAATTTTGCATGGTCCATGAATGAAGTTATAAATTTTCAGATGGCCCTTAGCCAAAAAACTGTCCCCCTTAAACTGAGTACTGGTGGCTTATGACTAATCCTAGCTTCTTAAGAAGCTGAGATCTGAGGTTCATGGTTTAACGTTAACCCAAGCAGACAAATCTAAGAGACTCTTATCTATAATTAACCAGCAAAAATCTGGAAGTGGAGCTCAGGTTCAAGTGGTAGAGCACAAGCTTTGAGCAGAAAAGCTAAACAAGATCTTGAGGCCCTGAATTTAGGTCCCAGAACTGGCATCAAAATAGGGAGGGTGGAATCCCTAACCTTACTAGATCATTCAGACACAGACCAAGACACACTTCACCCGAGGTAAATCTGGCCAGTGCTAGTTGGTTTTGGTCCTATCTCAACTAATCTCAACCTAGAAAATGTTCTCATTTTTTGAGTTTTCTTTGACTCTTTGGCCTGTACTTCCCTCCCCTCACACAGTCCTTTGGTGTGAAGCAACAGAACACCTTACATTGAGGCCATCATTTGCAGTGGGTATCAGAGAAGGGACAGTGTCCTGTTTCTTTCCAGCTTGGTTTCTCCATGGGGAATAGTAGATTTTGTAAATGGTTCTGGGCCTGACACAGGAATAGCAGAAGGCTTTGCAGAGCAGACCTCTGAGACGAATATGCTTTTCAGGGACCCTGTGGGAAACTCTTTCCAAAGCCTCTTGAAATAGCAGATCAGGCATCTTGAGATGTGAGATAAAGAAGGTTTTGTTTGTTTCATTGTCTTTTTTTTTTTTCATTCCAGCGGGCAGCTTGTGCAAGCGGAAGAGTCCAGAATGTGACAAAGAGACCTCCATCTGCACTGACCTGGATGGCATTGCCCTGTGCCAGTGCAAGTCAGGCTACTTCCAGTTTAATAAGATGGATCATTCCTGCCGAGGTACAGACAGGTTCACCCATCATTCTGAGCCCTATTTCAGGACAGAGGTGCTTCTATCTACTTGGTATACACATATTCTCTCTCTTCCTCTCTCTCTCTCTCTCTCTCTCGCTCTCTCTCTCTCTCTCTCTCGCCCTCCCTCCCTCCTTCCCTTCTCCCCCCCCTTTCTGTTCTGGGTGTATTCTTCTAAACTAGGAGTGACTATTCTTGTTATTTTGCTCACAGAAGAATAAGTTATCTCCTTGGAATAATAGTATTATTTCTGTCTGGTGCATGCTAGCTTGTCCAATCTGATTTGAAAGGGGAAAAAAAAGAATGGAATGCTTATGTTAATACCTTTTCTTATTTTCACTTGGAGAATGTTAGAAAAAATATTGTTGTATTTCCCAGAGATTTATCTGTTACCTGCTAATCTTTTAAGTTGGGAAGACAAGCATGGAGTCTGGCCTGGATCTTTAGGGTTAGCTGTGGCTCAGTAGTCATTGTACTCAGCTAAAGCTCAGAGGACCTGAGTCAGAGCTCAACCCTGCCTCACTAATCAAATTTCATCTTAGATAAGCATTTCATGTCTCTGAGCCTCAGTTTTCTATTCTTTAAAATGAGTGTTAAAGACAGTCATTATATATTTTAAGAATTGAGGGAGGCAATTGTATGGAGGTGCTTGGTAAGCTCTTGTATTTTTTTCAGGTTGTTGTTAAATGAATGTGGTACAGCTTTAAAAGTTTCATAAAGTACTTGAGAGCAAGCTGGGCGTGGGTGGCTCATGCCTGTAATCCTAGTTACTTGGGAGGCTGAAATCTGAGGTTCAGGTTCAAAGCCAGCCCAGGCAGGAAAGTCTGTGAGACTCTTATCGCCAATAAACCATCAGAATACCAAAGTGGCACTGTGGCTCAAGCGGTAGAGCTTGCTCACCTTGAGCTGAAAAACGCAGGGACAGCGCCCAAGCCCAGAGGTCAAGCCCCACGACTGACCAAAAAAAGTATTTGAGAGCAGAAATCTAATTCTACTAACTTTTTGGGTAAGACTTAAATTTATTCCCTTTGAGATAAAGACTGTTCAATGAATGCAGTTCAAGAATATTGCTTTAAAATAGAATTAATTCATGTCCAGACACTCTGTACCCTGCCATTAAGAACTGCTGCCCTTGTGATCATCACAAAAACTGCCAATACATAGGGCTGTTCTTTTATGGAGCTTTAAGATTTATCTCCCATTAGAATGTGGATGGCACAGATTTCCTATTCAGTTAATACCTTGCTGGTGACAGATGTACTGGGATCTGAGTAAAAATCACCTACTGGGGAAGGTGACATGCTGCTTATTTCTGTCAGGACTTCCTATTAGCAGACGCATTCCATCAAAAGAATACAAAACTGTATTTTGGGTCAGTGTTCTCATCTAGAGCTTCAGACCCTCTGACCTTGTTTGGTTTAGATAGGAAGTTATTTTAAAGTGGACATCGGCAGCTCTCCAGGTGAGACCTGTGAGGCATTTTGAAGGAAGGCCTGCCCTCTGAGTTGGGCATTCATCCCAGTACATGACTGGAACACAGCATTTCTCAGTACCATGCCAGGCTGCCGCTTTGCTACAAAGAGATAATGATTCCTAATTCCCTTTTATCTTAATGCTTAATGCAAATGTTCCATGCCCTTCTTAGAATTGAGGATTTGAGCCTGGCTTCATGCAGGAAAGTGATGGCACTTGGTGGGGTGCTGTGCAGATGAGGCCAGAGAATACAAAGCAGACAGGAGTGTAGTTGTGTAGAAGTGCCCCTGTGTGTTTTTCTTTAAGACTGGCCCTAACAAATGGATGGAACTAGAAGAAATCATGTTGAGTGAGGTAAGCCAAGAGCAAAGAGACAAATGGCACATGGTCTCCCTCATAAGTGGATGGTAAATCTAAAACGTAAGGTGATGTGACAAAGTTAACAAGGCTTGAGAAACAAAGGACTTCCACTCATCTGGTCAAATCACTACTAAATAACCCAATGCTGCTGATCACATACATGGTATATATGTGCACACCGGAGGGAAACCAGGAGGAGGACACAGAACTAGAGGGAATCAGGGAAAAACATACAACAGCGGGACCCATCAGCTGCACTGGACATTGATCAAAACGAACAAAGCAACTCAATGGCAGCGATGGGAGGGAGGGAACAAGTGAGAAAGAGGGAACAGCTGATGCTATGCAAAACAAAAGAAATGTACATATCACCCAATGTGGAAGAAATAACTGTATTGCAAAGCTCATAGAACTCATAAATGTTATAGACCACAATAGACAATTTGCCCCATGAAAGTTAGAATGTGTTTGTGACTTTAACTAAGCATCAGTATCCCACAATACTGTGAAAATTTGGGAAATTATGTAATCAATCACAATAAAGAATTAAAAAAAAAAAAAGAATGGCCCTAACCACCTGCTTCTGGTTGGCCTAAAACCTCTTCTCTATATTTCCAAGTGAGCAGTTTTCATAATTGAGCCCCTCACATACTAAGTAGCTGGAGTGAAAGTGGCTTACATTTGATTTTGATTTTATATGTAGCTTTGAAAGTCCAGCCAAGACAGTGTACTGATACTTTATGTAAGGCATTAAGACGTGTGTATATGTTTGTGTATAATACAGCAATATAGAAACTTGCTAATATATAGCTTGGATTGTAGTGATTTAGAAGAAATATACATACACTCTGTTTTCTGTTTTCATTAGACAAAGGTTATATCTATTTATGTATCTTATCTGCCTGTAGAGATATTTTTTAATTTTTTATTTATTTATTTTTTTGTTGGTCATGGTCTTGAACTCTGAGTTTGGGTGCTATCCCTCAGTTCTTCAGCTCAAGGCGAGCACTCTACCACTTGAGCCACAGCACCACTTCTAGTCTTCTAGTAGTTTATTGGAGATAAGAGTCTCACAGAGTTTCCTGCCCAGGCTGGCTTTGAACTGCAGTCCTCAGATCTCAGCCTCCTGAGTAGCTAGGATTACAGGCGTGAGCCACTGGCTCTGTCTCTATATAGATAAATAAATCTTTATTTCTATATAGATAGATAAATATTTCTCTAAAGATATATCTATATCTATCTATATGTATCTCTCTCTCTCTCTCTCTATATATATATATATATGTGCTCTAACAATACTATGCTTTCCAACTAGTTATCCAAGAAGTAATGTAATAGCTTGAATAGCTTTTGTCTTGTCACTGAGGCCCCATGAAACTCCTCAGTAAGTAGTACGTGTGGCCATCAGGCCTCCAGAGATTGAATTTTGGAGCTTCATAGGCCACAGCCCTGTCAGCTAGATTCTCATAGGTTAGTGGTGACATCTTCTGGTCATTGGTCCTGGAGCATAGGCATATTTAAAATTCAAATAGGTGCCTCTCCTGTAGGCTTCTTAGCTTCTTTCCATCATGTAGGCTTCATGAACCACAAAGTGGGAAGATAACTACCAGGACACAAATATAAATTCTAAAATATCTGTTTGCATTTTATCAGACTACAAGTGCCCTAAGAGCCAGAACCATGTCTAAAATAGTCCTTATCCTATTGTGGGGCTCAGATGTCTGTTAAATGAACACAGATGACAGGGCAGCAAATTTGGTAGGAAGAGATCAGCACCTCTTGATTTAGTTTGCTGCAAGGATCAAAAGAATCATTAAAACTCCACCTTTTTTTCTTTCTTTCTCTTTTTTAAGTCCATAAGGCTTGAATTTGCTTCTTTCTCATAGCAGTGAGAGAAGCCCAGTTGGGGTATAATTGGTTCGTCTTTAGTGCTCTGTAGTCACTCCCTCTTGAGTATGCAGTGAGAGGCTGGCCCTGATGAGCACCAGAGCTTCCTGGTAGGGCTTCCCCTAAGAGCCATCAGGACAGCTCTAAGCATGCAGTAGCACTCTATTGAAGTAGCATACAATCTTTGAAGAATGACTAAATGAGCCTTTGTGTGTGTGGGTGTGTGTGAGTGTGTGTCCTGGGGCTTGAATTCTAGTCCGTGAGCTGCTTTTGCTGGAGGCTAGCACTCTACCACTTGAGCTCCAACTCCACTTCTGGCATTTTAAAAGTAGTTTATTGGCGGTAAGAGTCTCATGGACTTTGCGATCTGGGCTGGTTTTGAACCACAATCCTCATATCTTAGTTTCTTGAGTAGCTAGGATTACAGATGTGAACTCCAGTGCACTAGCCTTGACCAGAAAAGCTAAGGGACAGAGCCTAGGCCCTAAGTTCAAGCTCTGTGATCAATTAAAAAAATTCCAGGAGGCTGGGAAGGTAGCTCAGTGGTAGCATGCTTGCCTTGCGTGCACGAGGCCCTGGGTTTGATTCCTCAGCTCCACATAAGCAGAAAAAGCCGGAAGTGGTGCTGTGACTCAAGTGGTAGAGCGCCAGCCTTGAGATGAAGACCTGAAGGACAGTGCCCAGGCCCAGAGTTTAGGCCCCATGACCGATCCCCTCTCGCCACAAAAAAAAAATTCCAGGAAAGAAATGTGTTCAGAATAGAATGAGATTAGTGTGACAGGGTCTGCCAGTGCTGAGATGGGTGGGGAAATGAGCATTCCCCAGGTAGCCTGAAATCTGAGCCCTGGATCACCTGTCCCTAGGTAGCTTCCTTCATTCTCATAACCCTGAGTATTATAACATGATACAGAAGGAAGGAGCCTGCCAAGCACAATGCTTTTTGTACTGGCCAATAAAAGGCAGATTTCCTCAGCTCATTCTTTAGAGAAGCCCAACTCTAGTAAGGCCCAGAAGAAAATTTAAGGTATCAGAGATTGGAGATGGGACCTCATTATCACATTTCTTTTTTTTTTTTTTTTTTGTTGGTCGTGGGGCTTGAACTCTGGGCCTGGGCGCTGTCCCTCAGCTCTTCAGCTCAAGGCGAGCGCTCTACCACTTGAGCTACAGCGCCACTTCCGGTTTTCTGGTGGTTTATTGGAGATAGGAGTCTCACAGTCTTTCCTGCCCGGGCTGGCTTTGAACCGCAATCCTCAGATCTCAGCCTCTTGAGTAGCTAGGATTACAGGCGTGAGCCACCAGCGCCCGGCTCATTATCACATTTCTAAATGGGATATGATTATGGTCCATCTTTTTGCATAAAAGATTTGAAATGCCTAATGAGAATTCTTATAAGATGTTATGCATTTTATTAGAATACAAAAAATGTATTTCAATCCATATCACACCATCAGTCACTTTCCCTTATCCTTTTGCTATTAATAATGTTAAGTTTTTATTGTATTTTATTTTCATACATACAAATCTACTTGGACCACATTTTCCTCTTCTAGTTAACTAGCACAACCTCTTTCTACTATTATGCACCCAACCTAACAGTTGGTCTCTCTTTCCCTCATCTTTTTATTGATCACAATTTTCATTGAGGTTCTTTAAAGTAAGATTATTTTATTTTATTTTATTTTATTTATTTATTTATTTTTGTCGGTGGTGGGGGCTTGAATTCTGGGCCTGGGCTCTGTCCCTCAGCTTTTCAGTTCAAGGCTAGCAGTCTACCACTTGAGCCACAGTGCCATTTCCGGTTTTCTGGTGGGTAATTGGAGTCTCACAGACTTTCCTTGTCCGGGCTGGCTTTGAACCGTGATCCTCAGATCTCAGCCTCCCGAGTAGCTAGAATTACAGCCACTGGCATCTGGCTTTTAAAGTAAGATTTTTAAATATTTGAAAGATAAATTAGACTGAGGCAAGATTAACAACTTTATGGAGTCCAGAATGATAATGAAAATGAAGAAAAATAAACCATATGTTTGCTAAAGATAGTTACTCATTCAGGTTCTGAATTCCTGGACAATAAATCAAAAATAAGGAACTCAATTTTGAAGAATGAAGGTTCATAATGTAAAGTATAGCTAGTTGTTCAGGAGAATCTCCATCCTTTTAGGCACTGGAGCCTGCAAGAAATTCCTTTGGGCATCATGGTTCCTAAGAGGCATTGCAGCATCTATGACATCCTGCAATAAGTGCCATAGAGATTTCCCATGTCTGCTTCTTATAATAAACTGCCCTTCGCACATGAGAAGGTAGCTTAGAAAGGGTGATTCTAGGATCTCAAACATTGCAGTTCAGTTTCACAGCCCTTTAATGATCTGCCATGAGATAGATTACAGATTATTATATATTTGTATGTTGTTTTTTGTTTTTGTCGGTCATGGTGCTTGAACTCTGGGCCTGTGTGCTGTCCCTGAGCTCTTCAGCTCAAAGCTAGCGCTCTACCACTTGAGCCACAGCACCACTTCCGGTTTTCTGGTGGTTAATTGGAGATAAGAGTCTCACAGACTTTCCTGCTTAGGCTGGTTTCTAACCACGATCCTCAGATCTCAGCCTGCTAAGTAGCTAGGATTATAGGCATGAGCCACCGAGGCCCAGCTTGTATGTTTCTTATTTATTTGGTGATATTGAAGCTTAAACTCAGATCTTGTGCTTGCTAGCTCTGATACTTGAGCCATGTTCCTACCCCTTTCAAGCTTTCATTTATTTTTCAGAAAGGGTTTTGTATTTTTGCCTGAGCTTGCCTTGGACCATGATCCAACTATGGCCACCTCCTGAGTAACTGAGCTAATAGTCTGCACCACCATGCTCAGCTTATTTTATTTATTTTTTTGGTCGGTCATAGGGCTTGAACTCTGGGCCTGGGCGCTGTCCCTCAGCTCTTCAGCTCAAGGCGAGCGCTCTACCACTTGAGCTACAGCGCCACTTCTGGTTTTCTGGTGGTTTATTGGAGATAGGAGTCTCACGGTCTCTCCTGCCTGGGCTGGCTTTGAACCGCTATCCTCAGATCTCAGCCTCTTGAGTAGCTATGATTACAGGCGTGAGCCACCAGCGCCCGGCAGCTTATTTTATTTTTATTGATAGTACTTAGGTTTGAACTTAGGGCCTTGTGTTTGCTGAACTGCCACTCTACCACTTGAGCCACACCTCCAGCCCCAATTTTTTGATGGTTGTTTTGTTTTGTTTTTTATTGTGAAAATACTGTACAGAGGGGTTACAGTTACATGGGCAAGATAATGAGTACATTTCTTATCAAGCATTGTTGCCTCCTCCTTTGTTTCCCCTTCCTATCCCTTCCTATCTCCTCCCCTCCCCCCAAGTTGTAAAGTTTGTTTTTCGACATAACAATTTGTACATCTCATTGTTGCAATGGGTCCACCTGTATCCCTATTTAAACGCTTTGTTTTTTCCCTTCCCCTCCACAAATTATACCAACATCAAATACAGTGAAAGCAGAGGTTATACCGTGGGGGAGGGACATACAAAGCAATAAAGAAAGCATCTTATAAAATATGTTTGATGATTATTTTGGAGATGGAGTCCAGCCAATATTTTTGCCTCACACAGATCCTTAAGATTTCAGCCTTAAGATTACAGGTGTGAGCCACCAGCACTTTGCTCTAGCATTTATTTTTTATTTTTTATTTTTTTGGTTGGTTATGGGGCTTGAGCTCTAGGCCTGGGCGCTGTCCCTCAACTCTTCAGCTTAGGGATAGCACTCTATCACTTGAGCTACAGTACCACTTCTAGTTTTCTGAGTGGTTTATTGGAGATAAGAGTCTCGTGGACTTTCCTGCCTGGGCTGGCTTTGAACTGCAGTCCTCAGATCTCAGCCTTCTTAGTTGCTAGGATTACTGGAGTAAGCCACCAGCACCCGGATTCTAGCATATTTTTTAGAAAGGGTTGCAGTAATATTTTTGTGTAATCTGGCCCCAAATCATGATATTCCCATCTCTGCCTTGCACATACTTGGGATTATAGGCATGTGCCACCTTAGCCTTAAATTAGAGATTATTTAGAATGGTGTTTTCCAAATACTCTTCCACAAAACACTACTGATAAGTTAATAGATAGTTTTTCACAATAAAATAGGCAAAAAGTTGAAAGGGAAAAAACTATTAACCACAGGCTGGGAAGGTGGCTCAGTAGTAGAGTGCTTGCCTAGCACGCATGAATCCCTGGGTTCAATTCCTCAGTAACCACATACACAGAAAAAGCTGGAAGTGGTGCTGTGGCTCTAGTGGTAGTGTGCTAGCCTTGAGCAAAAGACACTCAGGGACAGAGCCTAGGCCCTGAGTTCAAGTCCCAGGACTGGAAAAAACAAAACAAAAATTTTTTTTCTCTTTTTTTGTTGGTCATGGGGCTTGAACTCTGGGCCTGGGGACTGCCCCTAGCCTCTTCAGCTCAAGGCAAGCACTCTACCACTTGAGCCACAGCTCCACTTCTGGCTTTCTGGTGATTAATTGGAGATAAGAGTCTCATGGACTTTCTTGCCCAGGCTGGCTTTGAACCATGATCCTCAGGTCTCAGTTCCTGAGTAGCTAAGCATATAGGTGTGAGCCACAGGCACCAGGCTTTAATTTTTTTTTAAACACTATACAGTCGGAATTATTATCTGTTTCTTATCTTCTGCTTATAGATGGGAAACTGAAATCAATAAAGAGGTTAAGAAATGTTTCGGCTTCTAAAATGTTCTTTTTTATACTCAGGGTAGCCGGCAGGTAAACATGAGTTCCAACCATGGAGATTAATAAACACATTCATGGGTTTTTCTTTTCTCTTATAGCATGTGAAGATGGATATAGACTTGAAAATGAAACCTGTATGAGGTAGGTGCCATGGCCATTTACTCTGATGAAGTTGTTGCAAATCCTATTATAAAAACTATCCTAGCCGGGCGCCGGTGGCTCACGCCTGTATCCTAGCTACTCAGGAGGCTGAGATCTGAGGATCACAGTTCAAAGCCAGCCCGGGCAGGAAAGTCTGTGAGGCTCTTATCTCCAATAAACCACTCAGAAAACTGGAAGTGGCACTGTGGCTCAAGTGGTAGAGTGCTAGTGTTGAGCTGAAGAGCTGAAGGACAGTGCCTAGGTCCAGAGTTCAGGCCCCACGACCAAAAAAAGAAAAACTAAAATAAACACCTAATAAAGAACCTGTGCTAAATAATGAAATTACTTACTTCTTTTGAGGTTTGAAACTAATTCTTGTTCTTTTTTTCTCTCTTGACTTGCAGTTGCCCATTTGGCCTTGGTGGTCTTAACTGTGGAAACCGTAAGTATAACAAAGTGTACTTGAACAGGAGCCTGGCCTTCAAGGGGGTGTGTGTATGTGGGGGAGGGGGACCAATTTCCTGTTTTCCTTCACGTAATTCCAAACCCAGTGCTGGGTAGCATGGGGAAAACAAAGAGAAAGACCTGTCCTGGAGCTCTGTAGCATTCAAAGTCTGAAACACTTTGATAAGCATCCCTAGATGACCCTGCGTATATGGAGAATTAACATGATAAAGCAAATACAGGTGGGAGTCAGGGCAGAGACCACCCCCAAAGGAGAATGCACACACCTTTGTGTATTTCTTAGAATGGAATTGGATTGGCAAGTATGAGAGGAGAAAGACTTCCAGACAGAGGACAGCCATGGAGTCATGGTGTTTGTTCTGAGTACAATTTGTGAGTGGGTGTGCCAGGAATATAAAAGGAGAAAAACAGATGGTAGGGGTTGGTTGGCAAAGTATATGGAGATTGAACTGTTGGAGTTTGATCACCAGGATGAGAAGTTTAGACAATAATCAGTAACTGTGGGGTTGCTCACAAAATTCATAGCTTAGAAAAAGAGCATGGAGAGTAGACAGGAGAATTTGGGAACAGTGTGGAGATTTTGAATGTAGTGCCAGCCAGGGGTCAGGCCTACAAGGTGGAATCTGCACCCCTGAAGTAAACAGTAAATTACAGGGCTGGGAAGGTGGCTCAGTGGTAGAGTGCTTGCCTTGCATGCCTGAGGCCCTGGGTTCGATTCCTCAGCACCACATAAGAAAAAAAGCCGGAATTGGGGCTGTGGCTCAAGTGGTAGAGCGCTAGCCTTGAGCTGAAGAGCTGAGGGATAGCGCCCAGGCCCAGAGTTCAGGCCCCACGACCAGACCCAAAAAAAAAAAAAAAAGGAAAAGAAAAAAAGAAAGCTTCTTGTTAGAAAATTGTATTATTGAAATTTGAATATAAATAGAAATAAAATGAAAAATAGAATAAGATAAGGCATAAGACATACTGCTCTAAACCCAGCACAGGGCCACTCTGAGACCAGAGTCTAGGGACCTGGGATTGATTGTATACCCATTTAGGAATACTGATGCCCCTCATCATTTAATTTCTGTTGACAGAAAAATAGCAAGAAGTTAGAGTAGGGAGCCTGTGAGAAGAAGCAGGGAAGCAGTTTTGGAAACAAGCATAGAGTTAATGAATGGAAAGAAATACTCATAGAATTAATGTTCTAGATGTGGTGGTGGTGGTGGTGGTGGTGGTGGTGGTGGTGGTGGTGGTGGTGGTGGTGGTGGTGTGTGTGTGAGAGAGAGAGAACTATTTGAGCCACATCTCCACTTCAGGTTTTTTGCTGGCTATTTGGAGATAAAAGTCTTGTGGCTTTGAACTGAAATTCTCAGATCTTAACCAACTGAATCAGAAGGATTATTGGCATGACGAACTAACTCCAGCCCTAATGCTTAGTTTTTTTTAAAGAATGAGAATGAACAATCCTATATATAAATGGTCACTAAGAACACCATGGCACCATAAGACCTTAGGTTTGATCCTCAGCACCAAAAAAAAAAAAATCACTTTTTTAGAAAACTAGTTTTTCAGCTGTGTGGGTCCTGGACCTTTCTGTGTGTGTTCAGAAAGATATCTGTGCTTTGAAGGGGCTTCCTGAAATGCAGAATTGTACTGTTCACTTTCTAGCATGCCCCCAGATCATTAACATCTGTTACGTGTAGCGATGCTGTACCCTCACATTGCTTTAGTTTTCTGAAAGTTCTTACGTCAGGAAAAAGTTCTGCTATTTTCCATGACATTTGCCTGAAAGTAGCCAAGATTCCCCTCAGATCCCCGAGACTTTTTTTTTTCCTCCACATTTATTCAGTCATCATTACTATGTCCAGCAGAGGGCAACACTTACCTAGATGATGGGTTCCCAGCTATAACTGTTACTGACAGTTGGTCATTAGTGTAGTGTAGAATATTATTTTGTCATTTTTGTTTACTTGTTTTTTGAGATAAGATCTCACTTATATAAGAGCAGTCCGGCCTCTTAACTTGTCCTCTTTCTACTTCTAGCCTCCAGGGTGCTGGGATTCTAGAAGTTTATCACACCTGACTTTCATTTTATGATTTTGCTTTCTGTTATTACTTTTAGTACTATAAAACAATTAATAGTGGCTGAATTCTATGATAACTTCTAATAATACGTAAGAACACATTTGCTGTGCTTGCTTCCACCACATATAAACCTGCCACTTGCTTCCTTATCTGAGCTCTAGGCTCAGCCCAGTGTGTTAAGGTTAAGGGGTCAGGAATCACCTAGATTTCATCTCTATTTGTAATGATAGCCCCTTTGGGGATTATATGAGTCATCACTCAATGTTTTATGCCAAAGCAGTGAAGAAAGTAGTTACCTTTCAGGGGCTGTAACTCAGACTGGAGTTTTCATAGGGAAGAAATGCTTCTATGTACAGACATCCTTAGGTGCCAAGTCCAGTGGCAAGAGAATATGGTATTGTCCATTCTTGTACCTGGCCTTCCCTCATTACTTTATTATTAGTAGTCATCCAACTAAATCTCACCACCCATCTCACACCATGTGTTCTTGCTAAGTGTGGTCCTTGGGGCCAGCAGCATCCATGTTACCCAGGAGCTTGTTAGAAACACAGCACTTCAGGCCTCCCACTTCAAACCTACTGAATCAGAATCTGAATTTTAAAGGAAGCACTGGCATTGTTCGTCTTTCCAGGGATATATATATATATATATATATATATATATATATATATATATATATATATGTATAATCATTTTTAAAAGGAATTTGACATCACTGAATGTATCATTTTTAAACTTAATACATGAACATACTTTCATTTTCATAATTTTATATGGTCACTTTTCATAATTGTACACTATTATATAATTTTACTTAACTGTTCACCTCTAATTGCTTTTTTTTTTTTTTTTTTGGTCGGTCGTGGGGCTTGAACTCTGGGCCTGGGCGCTGTCCCTCAGCTCTTCAGCTCAAGGCGAGCGCTCTACCACTTGAGCTACAGCGCCACTTCCAGTTTTCTGGTGGTTTATTGGAGATAGGAGTCTCACGGTCTCTCCTGCCCGGGCTGGCTTTGAACCGAGATCCTCAGATCTCAGCCTCTTGAGTAGCTAGAATTACAGGCATGAGCCACCAGCGCCCGGCTCTCTAATTGCTTTTAAGAACCACTTTTTTTAAACAAAGAAAAAGATCCTCATTTGTATTCCTTGAAATTCAGTAAGTATTATTTTATATGATCAGAAGAGTCACTTTTTGAAAAAGATTCTCATCCTCTAAGGGGTTTTGTTGGTTTTATTGTTTATTGTTGCTGTGGTCATAGAACTCAACATCATTTCCCCAGATTCTCAATACAGTTCCTTCTCAACAAAACAGACCAGGGAGGAGTTAGACTGCCTGCCATGTTTACGGCCCCTTTCCGTAAAACCAGAGCATCCCACTTAAGGATATTCCCAGTCTTCCCACCCCAACCCACAGTTCAGTGGAAAGTGTATAAAATACCTTTTAATTGTGTTTGCCCTGTTCTTCCATGGAAGCTATTAAAAGGTTTACAGCAGTGGAAATGCTTTGTTAGCAAGCGTTACTCAGAAGGAGAGGTCACTTACTACCCAGAAGGTGGTTGGGTGTCTCATCTAGCTAAAAGTAGTCATTTCACACATAGTGGCCTCTGTCAGAACCAAAGAAAAACAGGGCTGAGGGTGAGAGGACTACTGTGTCTGATATTGCCACTAGGAAGAACTGCTGGTGAGACAGAAAGTGCAGAAACCTCAGGAGAAAGTGCCAGAACCACAAGGGAAATTGTCATAGTGGAGGGCCGGGACTACTGGGCATGTTTACACAAAGCCTGTAGGCCTGAAAAAGGTGAATTTTGAAAGGTGCCTAGAAAATAAAAGAATGGATAGAACAGAGAAGAATGGGAATATTTGAAAGGCATTCTGGGCTGGAGGAGTGGCTCAAGTGGTAGAGCACCTGCCTTGCAGTGGATAGGCCTTAAGTTCAAACTTCAATACTGCCAAATTAAAAATAAAGAGGTAAAATTGTAACCATGAATCACTATGAAAAAAAGTAGAACGAACCAAGTGAACACTGAAATAAAACTAATAGGGCTACCTAGAATGTCTGTAATACAGGGGCATTTTTTTGTTTCATTTTGTTTTGTTTTGTTCAGTCATGGGATTGTTCAGAACTTAGGGCCTCCACTTTGAACGACAGATCCACTTCTGGTTTTTAGGTGGCAGTTGGAGATAAAAGTCTCATGGACTTTCTTTCCTAGGCTGGCCTTGAGCCATGTTTCTCAGATCTCAGCCTCCTGAGTAGCTAAGATTACAGGCATGGGCCACCAGCACCCGACTCTAATACAGTTTTAATGGAAATCACATTGATTGGCTAAAATTCTTCCAGAATAAAAAGCATGGCTAATATAAGCAACAAAGTTTGTTTTGTTGTTGTTTTGTCGGTCATGGGACTTGAACTCTGGGCTTGGGAGCTGTCCCTGTGCTCTTCAGCTCAAGGCGAGCACTCTACTGCTTGAGCCACAGTGCCACTCCCAGTTTTTTAGAGGTTTATTGGAGATAAGAGTCTCACAGAGTTTCTTGCCCAGTCTGGCTTTGAACTGTGATCCCCAGATCTCAGCCTCCTGAGTAGCTAGGATTATAGGCGTGAGCCACCGGCTCCCAGCTTCAATAAAATTTGGCGGGGAGGGTTAGAGTGTATATCATGATATTCCAGCAGCAGGAATGGCAGAAAACTGGATACTGAGAACTCTGACAGCTGAAGGTCAGGGACTTCTTTCACAACACATGCTAGTGTGCTTCCATCTTGTTGCCTCCTCTTTGCTCTTTGACTGGTGGGCTTGTGGACATATAAAAGATGGACTCTCCACAGATGATGGGGTTTTTCTCTCCTTTCTAGACAACATGATGGAAGATAGAATTCTCATACAGATTTTGAGTGTATATCACTGGCTTAGCCATTTTGAAAGGGAAAGCTGGCTTCACTTTTTACCAGTCTGAGATTCCGAGAACCAATTGATCCAGTTTGGACCATGTATTTATACCTAACCAGCTGTGGCCAGAGGATGGCCAATGCTGCTACATATGTAAATAAGCATCATTACCCTCAACTGCAGATGGAAGGGAGCAAACAGTGCCCAGAAGGCACGTGGCTAAGCAGATAATAGATTTCTTCCAAGTAAGCATGTAAGCAGAGAGCTTATAGGAAAGGTGAGGGCTCAGAGTGGGTTGATTTGATGAAAGATGTTATTAATGCTAACAGTGCCAAAGAGAAAGAATCATTGCTTATAAAATATTGAAGTGTCTGTGGGAAAGTAGGACTTAGAATTCCAAGTTTTCATTCTGGAAGCTCTAGAGAGGATGAGACTATTTAAGAAAAAGGATAGGTGAAAGGTTGTATAGCTTGTACTACCTGTATTCAGCTCAGTCTGCTTTACTGTCCTCACAGACAACACCTGCTACACCTGTTGCACGAACTTAGCAACAGGGAGCTTACACAGAATGGCTTTATCAGAATGTTTAGAGAGCAGTTGTACCAGTTTTTATTTGCTACATTAAATCTGATCATTGGCTTTTTATCCCAGATCTGAGGATACAATTTTATTTATCTTTACTTTTTTCTTTTTCTTTTTCTTTTTCTTTTTTTGTCGATTGTGGGGGCTGAATTCTGGGCATGGGCGGTGTCCCTCAGCTCTTCAGCTCTAGGCCAGCACCCTACCACTTGAGCTACAGTGCTACTTCTGGCTTTTTTCTGCTTATGTGGTGCTGAGGAATCAAACCCAGGGCTTAATGTAATGCAAGGCAAGCATTCTACCACTGAGCCAACTTCCCAGCCCTTTATTTATATTGTCATAGGAAAATAAAAATCAGTCTGATAGCAAAATGTATTGGAAATAATTTTGCCAGAAATGCACCCAATAGAACCCAATCTATTAAACTTTTAGTATTTTTTATTACATGTGATATGTACTTGCTTATGTCACTGCCAACTTCTGGTAACTAAACGCAGTGCGTATTTATTAAGGAGCCTCCTGAATTCCTAGCATGGTGTAAGAAGTGGTTTCCAGACCCCTGACTCAGCTGATCGGTAATGGGTCTTATAAAATGGGATGGGCTGCCTTCCTGTTGTCTTGCTCTCTCTTTTTTTTAAAAATCGAGTACAATCTAACTCAGAATCATGTCTACTCATTATCATATCCAAAAGTTTAGTAGCTAACACTAAAGAGTAAGAAGTGGTCACAGAAAACCTTTGTGTTTTCTCTATCTTTAAAAAAAGACAATCAGGCCAGGCAGTGGTAGTTCACGCTGTAATCCTAGCTATTCAGGAGGCTGAGATCTGAGGATCACGGTTCAAAGCCAGCCTGGGCAGGAAAGTCCGTGAGACTCTTATCTCCAATAAACCACTAGAAAACTGGAAGTGGCGCTGTTGCTTAAGCGGTAGAGTGCTCGCCTTGAGCTGAAGAGCACTGGGACAGTGCCCAAGCCCAGAGTTCAAGCCCCAGGACCAACAACAACAACAAAAAAAGACAATCAGTTAGGCCCAGATCTGTAATCCTAGCTTCTCAGGAGGATTGAGATCTAAGGATTGTAGTTCAAAGCTAGCCTGGGCAGGAAGGTTCATGAGACTTTTATCTCCAGTTAACAACTAAAAAGCTAGAAGTGGATCTGTGACTCAAGTGGTCAAGTGCTGTTCTTCAGCAAAAAAGCTCAGGAACAAGATCCCAGGCCCTGAATTGAAGCTTCAGGACTGGCACATAATTAATTAATAATCAATTAAAACAAAGTTGGGCATGGTAATGCATGCACATAACCTCAACCTGGAGTGACAAGGAGACAGGATACTCTTGTATTCAAGGCCAGTTCAGGTTAAAAAACAAAATGAAAACAAATGGTGTGTAATGTCTCAAGTGAAAAGAGTGTATGCTGAGCCTGCTTAAGGTCATGTTTCAGGTCCTAGGTTCAATCCCTAGTACCAAAAAACAACAATAATAATAATGATTCCTGAGGCACCATCTGCACACAATAAAGACACCATTTTAAGTGATAGATAAAAGTAAGAAGGATAAGAACAGCTATTAAAATGAAACAAATTAAGTTTGTAAAAAACATTTTTCACCTTTACTTTTTATCCTTTTACTAAAAGGTCATCGGGTTGTTCTGCAGGTGGCATTTAGGAGCCACCATTCTAGAGGTAGCTTCTCAATAAAAAAAAAAAAAATGTAGGGCCTGCTAGGGAGGATCCCTTGCTGAAGATTAGAGAGTGCGTGGAAGGAGGGGTCTCACGCAGGTGGTAGCTGTGGGTGAGAGCATAGATTCTCCGTGGTATTCATGCATTATCTCTGCTTATTTGTTTATTTGTTTACCATATTTAGCCTATCAGCTTATCACCGTGGTGATTGCGGCTGCAGGAGGTGGGCTACTGCTCATCCTTGGCATTGCCCTGATTATTACCTGTTGCAGGTAAGTGATAAGCGTTAGCATCCTAATCCTGTGTACAGCGGCCTGTTTCCACTCATAAAAAATACTTGAGGTGACTGGCAGCATTTATCATAATGTATGGCTGAACAATTAAAAATAAGGAAACTCACAGTAGCTGGTGCCTGAGAAAAATTTGAAAGAGAATAAATGGAACTTTGTTTTCTTTGTTTAAAAAAAGGAAAATCATCCAAAATAAATAAATAAGTAAATAATAAGCTGAAAATGAAGATGTAGCTCAAGTGGTAGAGCACTAGCCTTGAGCAATAAGCTCAGGAACAGTGCCCAGACCCTGATTTCAAGCCCCAGGACCAGCACAAAAATAAATAAATAATCCAAAAATCACAACAACAACAAAAAAAGAGATGAACTGGATTTCAACAGAATTAAGACCTTTTGAGCTTCAGAAGCTAAAGCTCTGAGGTGGAGGCTTGTTTAGCGTATATAAGGGCCTGGGTTCAATCCCCAGTCCTTCAGCATGAGAGAATACTTGTGCTCCAAAGGAGAGTAACAAGGAAGAAAAGCCAAGTATGGTGTTGCATGCTTATAATTCTAGAACTTGGGGAGTTATAAATTCTAGCATTTGCTGAAGCAGGAGAATTATGAATTTAAATTGAGGCTAGCCTGCACTACATAATGAAGCTCTGTTTCAAAACACCAAAAAAGAAGAAAAAAAAAAAAGCCCACAGAATGGCAGGAGGGACTGGGCAGGGGAGTATTCGAAAGTGAAGGGATTGAAGTATAACAGATAGATAGATATCTATAGCTCTATATCATCTATATATCTCATATAGTCTATCTCATCTATACACATATGTATATATACATATATATGTATGTGCATATAATCGCATGATAGCATAATGAAACCCTCCAAATTGAAAAATGGTATTATACCTATATCTAGACAGATGGGCAGATGGATGGCTAGATAGATGGGTGGATAGATGGATGGATTGATGGATGTAGACAGAGCAAGATGAAAGGGGTTATCTGAAAATTTAACACTAGAGAAGTTGTAGCAACAGTGGGGATGAGCAGTAAACTTGGCTCTAGGCTTCCTGGAAGCAGTGGAATTGAGTTTGTACTGGGAGAGGAAGAGAAAGGAGGGACTTGATCCTCCTTCTCTATGATTATTTGTTCAAATGAAGGAAAATTCTGGCCTTTGAATTAGATGGTAATACTTGACAAGAATCATCTACACATAAAAGATGGAGGGAAACTTCTAAAATAGTTACCTTTTCTAACCTTGATAAGGAGGATGTTTGAAGGATTCATCTATCTCCAGCAGAGATAAGACAGGCCTTTGACTCTCATTCACCAAATTGCCACCAGAGACAAGCTTTACATGGAAATGAACATCTGGTTATAAAACTAGTTATCTAGAGGGCCAAAGCTCAAGGGAAGGGGTGTCATTTTTTCAACATGTTCTGTGCTAGTTTGTACAGACACACAATCTGCAAAGGAGCTTGGTTAATGAGAAGGGAAATTAGTTATGAACAAGGAAGTCATTGTTTGCGACCAGATGCTCCACCCACCAGGATAGTAGCTGGTGTGCTTTGAACTTGCACAAAGGACCAGCACCCAAGCCACAGGCTAAACATTTGACTTTATAAACCTGAGTCATTTCATACTTTTCCCAGACATTTTATAGCTATTTTATACATTTATAGGTAAGTGATTGAGAAGGAAGAAACTTCAGATTATTTTCCTCAGACAAATACTTAAAATTTTAGTACTAGTTAATTGTTGGAATATGTAGTTCTACACCAACAGTTAGCTAATAATAAAACCTCATAATCAGGTTTAATTCTTGTGCTGAACTGAGAATGTTGTAGTCCATATACAGATGAGCTGTTTTGTAACCATCCTGCTTTTGCTATTTATGAAGTTATGTAGTAAAAAACACTGGCTGGGAGGTGAGAGATTTGATTCCAGTTGCAGCTTTTGTAGTAGCAAAATGTGACCCAGGGGCAAGTCAGCTGTCTTCACTAAGCTCGAAATGTCCAAACCACAGAGTATTTGATGCAGAAAATCTGGTCACACCTACACTCTTCCTATCAGGCCAGGTGTGCATAGTTGTGTCTTCTGGCTTGAGCAGTTCCTGCACTTTTTTTTTTGCCAGTCCTGGGGTTTGAACTCGGAGCCTGGGATCTATCCCTGAGACTCTCTGTGCTAGTGCTCTACCACTTGAGCCATAGCACTATTTCTGGCTTTTTCCGAGAAGCTTATTGGAGATAAGAGTCTCACAGACTATCCTGCCCACAATGGCTCCAGAATATGATCCTCAGATCTCAGCTTCCTGAGTAACTAGCATTACAGGCGTGTACCACTGGTGCCCAGCAGTCCATGCACTTTTGACTGGTGTTGACCTCCTCTCACAGAGGAATCTAACAGCTCTGTTGTAGCTGTTGGTCCCTCTTGACCCTTTTAGATGGGAAGTCTTTTTGCATCTTGACCTAATTTCATTTTTCCTTGTTTAGGCAAATACTACTAACACTCCCAACAGTGAGCACCCACACAGAAATTATAGTCTAATTTGCATCGCAAAATAATGGTTTGTGTTTACATAGATAACATTTCTTTACATAACTTATTCACAGAGGTTTTCAAAATTTTGTTTTTAATCTCACAGAAAGAGTAAAAATGACATAAGCAAACTTATCTTCAAAAGCGGGGATTTCCAAATGTCCCCATATGCCGAGTACCCCAAGAACCCTCGTTCACAAGAGTGGGGCCGAGAAGCCATTGAAATGCATGAGAATGGAAGCACCAAAAACCTCCTCCAGATGACAGATGTGTACTATTCGGTGTGTATTGTGCCCCCTGTGCCCAAAGCAACCATGGGCTCCCACCTGGTTAGAGAAGAAAAGAATTCTCTTTGTCTATAAAGAAAGCATTACAGCTAGCCAAAGGGTTCAATAAAATGGTAGCACAAGATTGCTACTTATGTATTTTCACATACATTTCTTTATGACCTGTTTGCATGCTGGTATTTCTTAGTTTTGCACTGAGGTATTTCCAAGTAGCACTGTATTTTACGGTAACAATAATTCACAAACCTACTCTTAAGTTATAGGAATGGAAACTGTAAGATGAAGAAAGAAATTGTCTCTATCCAATACAGGACTGTATCATTTATAAAGACAGAAGAACACTTTGAGTCCAGCTTCTTCTGTCCCACATTGAATTTAACCCAAGTCTTATTCCTCTGTCCTGCCTGGTTCCCTTTACTTTATGCTGTGTCAACCATAGAGCAAACATAAACCATATCTGAACCAAAAAATAAACAGGTGTCAGGTGATATCTCATCAATTCTCGGTATAGCAATAAACATGTGACCCTTGCCCTGTGGGGCCTTAATGGCACTAGACAGTCTCATTAGTGAAACCACCATCCCTTTGGTTGCTACAGGAATTGGTGATGATGATCAGACTTCATATGGGAGGGGCAGGCTTCTATATGCTAGAGAGCTGTATGTTTCTGTGTGCTTACTGGAACATTTGAACCTGAGAGAAGAATGAGAAACGAGAGAGATAATTGTACACACAAACTTGGCTCTAGTTAAATGTTTTTGTTTTTCTGCATAAGGCTTTGTGTCTACTTTGCTAGGAAAGTCCTTTTCCTTACACAATTGACACCATAATTAGGTAGATATTTCCCCAAGATGTTCCCAAACACCTTTGCTTCAGTGTGGTGGGATCACTAGCCACAAAATGGTGGGTGGTGTTCCTGAAGGCCCAACTTTGCTATGTTTCCATAGCATTAGGTAAGGAGCTGCTTAAAATATACCTAGTTAACAACTTAAATCAGTTCAGGGCCCATAAGTAAGAGAGAATTACAAAGTTCTGAGGATGTTATAACATTTCCATTTTTGCCAAAGTTCTTCAGAGATGCCTTAGGAGACCTATATGTGTTACCATGTTTTGTTCCTTTTCAGAGAACTGTACAGCAGATGCCGAAATGTCCCGCAGACTGGGTTGGGGGAACCATACTTATTTTGAGAGCAGGGAGTAGAAAGGCAGTATCTATTTGTAGTAATGGCCACTTCTGCCCTTCCAAGGCCTTGTACTTTTCCCCTACTGCAATGGAAATCTGTATGTGCCCAGACCACTCCTCTCCTGCTCCTCTCTCCAGCGACTGCTACCACTCAACCAGGGACAGTGTCTGAACTCCTATACTATAAGAACTGAGGGGCATTTTTTTTTTCTGAGACTGACAGGTTTCTGATCTCTGTCCTGGCTATGCAATCTTGTGGCATCTCCACACACTCACACACTGAGCTCTAAAATACTCCCATCTCATGGGGCACCTTACCATTGTCCTGTCTCCACCCCAGGACAGACATTCTCCCACTGCCATCTTCTTTTCTCCAGTGGTTAAAAAAACAAACAAAAAAAAAAGCCTGCATTTCTCAGCCCACAGCAATCTTGTATTTTATGTCTGAAAGGAATCCGAAACAAAGCTGTAAACCTCATTTGCCTTAACCCTTGTCCTCATCACCTGTGGTATGGTATGCGATACTCTGGAGCACAGCAAGGTCACTGGGTCCCCCCAGCCCACTGTCTGCCACTGTGTGGCCCCAGATAGCCCTTTTATGCATCCTCAAATCTGACTACCTCTACCACACCGCCTTATTTTAGGTTGGAGATAATTCTAAGAAATGAGGTATAAACATTTCAAAAATGAACCCCATCTACACTTCAAAATCAGTAGGCTGAGTAGTCTGTAGAAGCAGAGCCTAAAGTTATACAGTAAAGCTCACCTGAGTGGACAAGATGTTCCTCTCAGTAGGCACAGGTGAGTCCCACCTTTGGCTTTTGTAGATTTTATGTATAATGCACAGTTCCTGTATTTTATATTTGCCAAGAGAACATTTTTATCTGAAGCTACCATGAAGAGCTTCTCAGAGTAGCCATGATACCTTTCCCCATGGGGCCTCCACTGGGAGCTTGTTTTTTGTTTTTGTTTTACTGTTTTCTTGTTTGTTTTTGCTGACACCTGGTTAATTAATCCTCACTCCCCCAACCCCCCCACCCACCCACTACCACTTCTTGTGCCAGTCCTGCGGCTTGAATTCAAGGCCTGGACATTGTACCTGCGATTTTTGCTCAAGGCTAGCACTCATCACTGGAACCACAGCTTCACTTTTGGCTTTTTGGTGGTTAATTGGAGATAAGAGTCTCATGGACTTTCCTGTCCAGGCTAACTCTGAACTACAGTACTCAGATCTCAGCCTCCTGAGTAGTTAGGATTACAGGCATGGACCACCAATTAATTACATACCTCCCTTTTTGTTCCCGTCCTGGGGTTTGAATTCAGGGCCTAGGTGCTATCCCTAAGCTTCTGTTGTTCAAGACTAACACTACCACTTAAGCCACAGCTCCACTTATGGCTTTTTTTTTTGAGGGGGGTAGTATTGGAGATAAGAGTCTCATGAACTTCTGCTTGGGCTGGCTCTGAACCTCAATCTTGAGATCTTAGCCTCCTGAGTAGTGAGGATTGTAGGTGTGAACTACCTGCCCTTGGCTCTTAATCCTCTTTCTAAAATAGGGACAAATATATCCCAGATTCCACCGAAAGATAGGTCAGGTATGATGGTATGTGCTTGTAATCCCAGCACATGGGAGGCAAAGACAGAAAACTCTCACATTTGAGACTGGCTTTACAAAGAAAGTTTGGGCTTAGCCTGGGACACAAGTAGGATCTCATCTCAGAAAATCAAAATGCAAAGAAGGAGACAGACAGACCTGTGAGGGTCCTGAATTCTAGGTCAGATCTTGCTCTGCTATTTATAGCTATTATATTTATAGCTATTATACTTATATGCCAGCATATAAGTTTATTAATATGTATAATGCTCTTCTCTTAAATTTAAAGCCAAGAATAATTTCATTTTTTCTTTTTTCTTTGGCAACAGCCCACAAACGTAAGGAATCCTGAACTTGAACGGAACGGTCTGTACCCAGCCTACACTGGATTGCCCGGATCACGGCATTCTTGCATTTTCCCTGGACAGTATAACCCATCTTTCATCAGTGATGAGAGCAGGAGGAGAGACTACTTTTGAGTCAGGGAAGAAGCCTGTTGCCCCGAAACGGTTGCGGGACCTCTGTGGTTCAGAGCACTGGCTGCTCCCAGGACTTGTCAGAGCCACCCATAAGTGGCAAACAGAAAGAGGGACAGGCGTGGCCCCAGTGGACGGGAAGGGCGGAGTGTGGACCGGCAGGCTGCTCAGTTGGCACCTTCATTGTTACTGTGAACTGGCGGTGGGCAGTACCATGGGAGTCTCTGAGTGCTGCCGCGTGCTGCTGGAGTTAGGAGTGACTGTAGCCACGGCGTGCCACTAGGTATCACTGCAAGGACCCGGTTTTTCCTTGGTTTGCACTTTAGTACATTGGGCACGGAGGTTTCTTTTTGGTTTGTTTCAAGACTATTCTAGAAAGAGGGCTTCTTTTCATGAGACACTTTTCTGGGCCACCGTTTGGTGATTCATTGCCACCAGGTGCTGGCCCTTTGTTTTCCTGTCCAGATGCTTGTGTGTGAAACACAGGCAGGCGAGGGGTGATGTGCCACTGTGACCCAGAGATGCTGCAGCCAGCAGGGCGTTAACGCTTTCAGGCGGCCTTATGCTCGCTTCCAGGCCATTCCCCTCAAGGAGGAATGGACGCTGGTAAGGCATAGCACATAACTTCTCCCTGCTTGTCAAGTTGAGGTGACATGTTCATTGAAGTCCAATGGGTTTTTCCAACTTACAGTTCAGTCTCACATTTTCAAGTAGGTGCACATCAGGGCAAAACAACTTGCATTCGGTTTGGGTTAGAAGCATCCAGCTGCCTCAGTGATGAGGCTGACTGGCAGATCAGGGACCAAAGGTGGCAGGTCCTGCCTTCAGCAGGGGCACTTCTCATTCACCATGAGGAAATCCATGGCTCCTGCTCCTCTGACCACTATGCCAGAAACTAGATGCCACTACAGATGGAGTTAGAAAGGAAAGTTGAATGCAGGGGTGCGAGTCAGAATTTCACCCCCAGAGGAAAAGTCTGCTGTGGTCCCTGCAACTGGTCATGGTTAGAGAAATGGGCTAATTTAGGTATTAGATTTCTGTGGGTGTTCTGCGGGAAAGCAGGGAGCTAGGACGGAGCTACGGGTAAGTGTGCTTACCTGCTAATTGTTGTGTCTCTCAATGTGTCCACAAACTCAGTGTATAAACTAACCACTCAGAGCTACTTAATTCACTGAAGTAGTAACTTCCTTCCTCTCATCTGGTCATTGGTTCCTCTTCCGCCCCTGTGTAGTACCCTCTGGAAACAGGTACGGTGTGTGTGAGCACTGGCTGGTTAGGGTCTGGGAGTGTGCTTTGGGGAAGGAAATGTCCCTTGTCTTGTTGGTTGTCCTGGGTCTTGCAAGGGGGGTATGTTGAGTGCTTTGTGTCTAACTGTGGAACTTTGGACCATCCTGATGTAGGGGAGGGAACACGGAGGGATGATGATCGTCCGCGTTCTTGCTGGGGGCTCAGTGGCCCGCATGTCTGGAAGTGGTTCCGTGCTGGGGACAGTCTTCCTTGGACATGTGCGTTTCTTCAAGATGTCCTCTTCAAAACATGCAGTTCTCCTCTCCGAGGCCTGAGCTGAGCCCGCCGTCACCGCTGCTCCCCATCACCTGCTAGAGGAGGATGGCTAGTCAGGTGTGTGGATTCTAGCAGTTGAGGTGTGCTTATCTCACAAGTACAAAATAAGTCCTGTTGTCCATGAATATTAACTTACCTTCAAACTCATCACTGTCTTGAAACACTGGGTCTTGCACATATCTCTCTGGAACCACATGGCCTCACATCTAACTGGAGAACTCAGAACTCCTGCCCTCAGCACACCTGAGCCAACAGGCTGCACAGCCTGCTCCAGCTCCTTTTGCAACATATCTGCTCTCCAGGCCTCGCTCCTGTGGGAGCAGCCACCAAGGGCTGTGTCTAGACATAGTATGCTGTCTTCAGCCCACATCACAGCTGGAAGATCATCTCCTGTATCTGGGCCAAAAGCCTTAAAACCCACAAAACAAGGTGTTCTGTTTTGGAACTATCCCAGAGTCTAGAAAAGAGTGTCGTGTGAGTTCGTAAAATGCTTGTCTGCTCATGAATCTTGTTCAAGTAGAGTGGATTTAGAGTTTTGTTTTCTACTGTGAAAAAAGAGGGCCTCCAAGCAAGGTGCTCCCAGCATGGCCAGTTTCCAGGAGGCTTGTGGAGAGGGGAAAGCATTCGGAGGTCAGAGAAGGCTTGAAAGGGGCACAAAAGTGACCCAGTACGCCCTGTGTACCATGGAAGAGAAGCTGGGGTTACTCCTGCCTGGGTTAGGACCCCTAGAGTGGCCTGCCTAGGCTGAAAGGAAACAGCGGGTAGGACGCCGGCAGCAGATAGACAAGAGGTTCAGGACTGGTTCAGGTGGACCCACACCCACCACTCGAGAGCTCGGCTGGGGCGCCGTGCTCAGTGGCAGGCCTCACACATGGAATGAGCAGTTCATGCTCACAGAAACGCCATGGTTCTGCATTGACACCCCACAGCTGGAGAAAGTGGAAAGAAGGAAGTGACACCACCCATGAGATGCTTCTGTGGGGCAGAGCCAGGCCAGGCACAGCCTGTGTCCTGCCGCTGAGGGAGGGGCGGCTCCTTCCCAGGGTCCATCCTGGATTTTAAGCTCCAGGGGTCTTATTTTCCATTTCCTTTTTCTCTCATGAGCCCCAGGGTACCGGGCCATGTTTCTTCAGGATAAACAACAAACATCTGTTCTTCCCATGGCCAGGCTATGTGTGAAATACTTGGCTGAGCAGCTTCCTTGTTAGTTGGCCTTGAAGTACTCATTTCCCAGACTTAAAACCTCCAGAGAGGATAAATAGCTTACTTATAGAGATAGACTTCAAACCCCAATCCTGTCTCCACCCACCCTATGGCTGAGCTATGGAGGCCTACCCATTCACCCTCCTGGCAGACATCTTGCCATGCAATGCACTTCCATTGAAAGAAGGGAAACCCTGGACCCCGCAAATCATTTTTTAAAGGAATTTAATATTAAGCAGTAATGAATGACTAGAAACGCAAGAACAAAAACCTGGTACCCTTTGTGAAAGTGCCCTTTCAGGTGTGTTTTTTGTATATTTTTCTTGAACTCTCATGTTCTTCATCAAGACAACAGTGGCTGGCTTGCGTTAAGTCGTGCATTGGTATGTGCCTAGGGCTGGAGGCACTGGAAGGTGGCCCCAGGGCGTTTCTGACAGGCACAGTCTGACACGTGCATCCATTGAGGCCTGCCTGCCGTGCTCCAGGTGTGGAACCTCCTCTCCCACATCTAGGGGCAGTATTTTTGTGAGCCATCAGAGTGGGGCATGAAGTTGAATAGCTTAAAAGGCTCATAGGTCTCTACTTTGTGGGAAGGTTATTTCCCAAAACAGTTAAGTCTGTTAGAGTCACAATTGTTGAATGGTTGGTGCAGTCAAGCTGGCAGATAGCATTTGAAGTCAAAACCCAACATGTAATTGTTGGTCTGTCTTTCTTTCTTTCTTTCTCTTTCTTTCTTTCTTTCTCTCTCTCTCTCCCTCTCTCTCTCTCTCTCTCTCTCTCTCTCCCCCTCCCCCCCCCTTTCCTCCTCCCCCTCTTTCTTTCCTTTGCCTGTTCTGGGGCTTGAATTCAGGGCCTGGACACGGTCCCTGAGCTTCTTTTGCTCAAGGCTAGCATTGTGCCACTTGAGCCACAGTGCCACTTCTGGCTTTTTCTGTTAATGTGGAACTGAGGAATCGAACCCAGGGCTTCATGCATGCTAGGCAAGCCACATTGCCAGCCCCTGACTGTTGATTTCTTGAAGTAGTAACTCTTAAATGTTAGACCATAAGAGAGGAGGGCTTCATTTTTGGCATAGGCATCTGGATGACTACCTAAGAATAACTCTTTAAAGGATGTTATCTATTTAGACAGAAAGTTCCAGATCAGGCACTTTAGGGTGACTCCTTCACTGTGGTTCTTAGGTGCCTCATTAAGCCACCTGTCCAGGTCCCCAGTTACTATGAAACCACATGAATAAGTAGAATGGAGTGTTGCACTGCCCTTGGCTAAGTTTAGCCTAACTCACTCCAAACTAAGAGTTTGACCCATAGTTCTAAACATGCTTTGATTTTAGAAGATGAATGGAGAAAGGAAATCTTCAGAGCCTGGGATGTCAGTAATACTTAATTTAAAATTGCCCTAGTATCAGAGGGAGTTGTTTTTTTTTTAATCAAAAGCTTTTGTGGGGCTAGCAAGGGACATTTTTGCTTTTTCTGTTTTTGAATAATGGTCTGTTACATAGCCAGGCTGGCCTCAAACTCATGATCCTCCCACGTCAGACTCCCATTGGCTGGAATTACTGGCATCTTCATCACCACACCTAGCCAGGTTTTTCTTTTTTTCTTGACGCATCATTCCAAGGTTCTTGTGTGCATTTAAAAAAAAAAAATACGGTTTTGAGAATGTAAGTGTGTTTTCTTTTTTCTCACTTGCCCAAAGAAGAAAACTGGCTAAAATAGTAGGAACATTCAACTATGAAGTGCCAATTCATTTGTTAAACTGAAGTAGTTCAGTAAAAATGTTATTCTCCTTCACATCTAATGGAAATTGTAACTTACAGAAAAGTCTGTGAAACCAAAAGGGGCTCTTTCTTCAGTCTAAAAAGAGACCAAGCCAAGACTGAATCTGCTCCATGGGTGTTTTAAAGGAGGACATGTCAAAGGAGTTGCTTTTAGATTCTGGTTCTGTTGTTTTTATGGTGTGTTTAATGCATTTTGTTGTGGAATTCATGGGTAGGAAATAGAAGCAGACAGGGATGGGATAGAAGCAGTTTGTGTGAGAAACTGACTCAGCGCACTTGGCCCTTCTGTCCCTAGGCCTGTTCTAAAAAGCACATGATTGTTTCACCATGCATTGCTGTGAGTTTCAGTAATGTTTTTGTTGCTGCATTTGCAATTATGGCTAAGTGGAACTTGAAGTATGAACTGTTGAGTTTTCACACATTGTCTTAGATTTCCCCTTTGTAAACCTTTTGCCCTTAGATCCTGGTTGATTGTGTTAAGTCCACTATAAGAATGTTATTTAAAGTTGTGTTATAATTGCAGCCTCCACTAATTATTTAGTACTGTAGTAGCAAAATATTATTTGTAAGAATTTGGTTATTTTTATACTTATATCCACTATAAGTCTGGCGTTCTAGTCAGTAAAATGATGCAATAAAATTAATATTTTCACTGTTTTTTGTTCTTTGCTCTGTAACAAGCAAACTATGCCCGAGTCCAGCAAAGTTACTATGCGTGAAAGCATCCTTGCAATGAACTCTGGAAGGGAAAATGTGAGTAGCTATCATTTGCTTGGTCGCTGCGCCTGGGTGAACAACTGGGCCTAAGTGATAACAGATCTAACTCAGACATAACACCTGCTTCCGTTTACTTTTCTCTGAACTAGAAGACGTAAGTTACTGATTGAGACACTGTTAATTTTCCCCAGGGTTACCTCCTACTTCAAGGGAACTTTCCTTCTGGAGGGAGAACAGGAAGCCTTTGCCCAGGGCAGAGAATCTGAGGGACCTACAGACAGAGTCTCTCCCCTCTACCCCGCCCTACACACACATACACACTTACGCAGGTCTCATGGCAGCCATGCAATGTAGTTGCCTGGCTAGATACATGTTTATGATGTGCATCATGGATGCCTTGCATGGCAGATAGAGGAGCCTCATCTGCTTGAGTGCAAAGCCGTAGCCCTGGGGAGACCCAGCAGAGTAGTTCAAAGCACAAAGACAGCTTTTTAGCAGATGAGATCAGGTGGTAGCCCAGCCAGAAATTCCTGAGTGGAAAACTTTTCTGACCAGCTCCCCAGACTCAGTCCTGCCCCCTTATTTGCAGTCCCCAGTCCGATCTTCACAGGAACCCAGTGCTGACTCCTGTTTCTGCTCATCTAGTCAGACACAAACATATCATTTCCACACCTCATGAGTGGGAATTTTTTTAAGTTGTATATACTTAAAGTGTAGACTATAGTTCCTATATAGACAGTAAAATAGTCTCCGTGGTCAGATTATCATGTCACTCTGTATGTGTGTGTGTCTGTGTGCACGTGCACACATGTGCATGTGCATAAAGTCACCTAAATTTTATTTTTTGGTCATGGGGCTTCAACTCAGGGCCTGGGCACTGTCGCTGAGTGTTTTTGTTCAAGGCTAGTTGATCCACAGTGCCACTTGCAGTTTTTTAGTGGTTAATTGGAGATAAGAATCTCGTGAATGGTCTGGGAAGGTGGCTCAGTAGTAGAGCGCTTGCCTTGCATGCATGAGGCCCTGGGTTTAATTCCTCAGCACTAGATAAGCAGAAAAAAAAAAAAAGCCAGAAGTGGCGCTGTGGCTCAAGTGGTAGAGTGCCAGCCTTGAGCTGAAGAGCTGAGGGACAGCAACCAGGCCCAGAGTTCAGGCCCCATGACTGGACTCCCCCCCACCCCCCAAAAAAAAAGAATCTTGTGAACTTTTCTGACCAGGCTGGCTTTGAACCATGATCCTCAGATCTCAGCCTCCTGAGTAGCTAGGATTAGAGGTATAAGCCATTGGCACCTAGCACCTAATTTTTTTAAATTTGTTATTATAAAGGTTATGTATAAATGGGTTGCAGTTACATAAGGTCAGGTCTAAATATTTTAAGTACAATGGTTTGAACTCAGGACCTTGCTTAAAAGCACTCTACCATTTGAACTATGCTTCCAGATCTGTTTTGCTTTAGTCATTTCTTGAATAAGTTATGTTTTTGCCTAGGGCCAGCCTTGTACTAGGATTCTTCTTCTGTCTTTTCTTTCCGCGTGGCTGGGATTACAGCTGTGTGACATCATGCCAAGACCTCTAAAAAATCTCAATACCCAGGCTGCATGTTACTTCTCCAGACTTAGGCATCCTACATAACTAAATTTGTACTCCTTACCCCACTTCTCACCGCTGCCTTCCCCTCTGCCCATTCTCTTCTCTGTTTCTCTGTATTTCCCCACCTAGCTTTGTTTTGGATGTGGTTCATCCAAAGGTTTGTGTGTTGGGGGTTTGGTCCTTGTGGCAATGTTTGGAACTGGTTTGACCTTTTATAGGTGGGACCTAGTGGAAAGTCCTTAGGTCATCTGGGGGATTGGGGTGTTCCCTGTTTCTCTCTTTGCCTTCCTGTTTTGCAGTGTGATCACTTCCTCACACATGGACTCTTCCCCTATGATTGATTTTCCATAATATGAAACAGCTGGAAGGGTATTTTCCAGAGCTGAGCTGCACCAATACTGTGCTGCCAGGGTTTGGCCCTCCAGACTCTGAGCGAAATAAACTAAATCCAAGGCCCTTAGATTGTAGACGTGTCTCACCATGTAGCTCAAACTGACCTTAAACTCACTAACATAACCTGTGCTGGCTTTAAACTCACGATCACTCTTGCCTTTGCCTCCAAAATGCCACGTCATGCCTGGCATAATATCCTGCAAGTTCCATGTTGTCTTCAGAGGGAAACATTATCTCCTTTATCATTGCTGGATAATATCCATTGTATACACAAATAGCACAACTGCTTTATTCAGTCATCTGTCAGTGAGTACTTAGATGATTTCTATATCTTGGCTATTGTGGATAATCCCTGGTGTAATTGCTCTCAGCCTAAAGGGAAGCTTTCTGCTATATACATGAAGTTAGCCTGAATGTTTATCCTACTTGTACATGTGGCCTGGATGAACCTCTGCCAGGATTCCTCTTGTCAACATTGAACGATCTCAAAAATATTTTTAGACTCTGAGGCTTGCACAGTTGTTCGGGCAGGACAGGTAAGGCTAACAATCTGGAGTGCTTCCAGGACAGAACCTCACATACTGCAGTTTGAAAGTTCAGGGTAGAACCAGATGGTGACATCATGCAGATTCCTGGCACCTTGAGCAGGAACTTTAGAATTCAAGAGCGATTCCAGGAATAAAGATGTTGATTTGTACTGGTCTCACCAAACCCTTCTGCACTATCTGTTGGTACAAGATAACCTCCAATAGTCGCTGGCTGTTTTTCCCAAGTTATGTCAGGCCCAAGAGTCTGCCACTCTTCTAAAATTCAGTATCCTGATCAGTAAAAATCGTGGCAGGGGAGCTCATAGTTATTGCCTCTCAGAGTTTAAAGATTAAAAGAACTCATATGATAACACTGCAGACTATGAGAGAAACAACACACATCGGTTCTCATGAATGGGGCCCTCCCATCACCAAAATGAAAGCAGCAGAACTGAAGTCAATTTGATGCTCTTCACTAGTGATTTCGCCTGGAGAATGTAGTTTGTTAAAGTGCTGTGGCCATTTCCCCTTCACTTCTGTAGCCTGCCCTTTGTAACAGCGATTCTAACTGTGGAAACGAGAACCACTACTGTCCCATTAAACATTAAACTGGTGCCTGGCACTCAGTAGGAACCCACCGAAACAAAGAGTGAGTGAATGGGCGAGTCATCTGCTCCAGTAGCTGAAGGCTGAGAGTTGGCTGCCCATGAATGTAGCTGGACTGAATATGTTAAAGATCTCATGACAAGGCTCAAGCAGGTA